TACCCTAGAGGCAAAATGCGGTCTCCAAAGTGGTTTTCCGAGACATTAAACACTCTCTTACTCCAGTGGGGGGTCGAGCTCCGTCTTGCATTAACTATGTCTTGTCAGGGGTATTTCGGATATTTCATATTTATATAGATAGATATAATGTTGAATTTTGTGTAAATATGGTCAAATTTACCTGAATTCACCTGGACTATGAGGGTCAGATAAAATCATTAGTTTCAGTTGCTCTGGCCTATAGTTTGCACACCAAACCTAAATATAAAAAGAGCAATAATTATAAACTAGAGCAAAACTTTATAGAATTATCTCGCTAACTAATAATATAATCTGCATCTAAATAAACATAGATCATTTTTTTGATGAAAATCTTGATTGTGTCGAGCAACTTACAAAGAACGATGAAAGGATCAGATTTTCGAAAAAAATGATATGACAAGATCTTTGATAAACAAATATATTCCTTATAAAAATCATATCTTTGTTAAGCAAAGATATCTTTGACTGTCACAAACACAAAATTACTAAGAACTGTAAAAGTATGTAAATCATGTACTTTTGCAAAATACATTTTCTATATAAAACTATCTTTCTAAAGACAGTGTCAGAAAATATTAATTCAGTATTTGCAAACGATCTCTAATACGTTTTTAAGTCTCTTGACATTCAGTAGTTTCAAAATAAAACTTAACATCTTTTTTTTGTACCTTTAAACTTAACTAAAATTATTTATGTATATATAAATAATTCTATTTGAAGGAATAAAAAGGCAAGTAATTTACTTAATAATTTATAATTAGATGCAATTTTTCAAGATAGGTATGTCCTTTGGTTCGGTTGCTACCTTATTAAGTGATAGAGGAACGCTTTTTTTTAAAACCACTGCACCCATTATAATTATATCCATTTTGAGGGCAAAAAGTTTTTTAATGTAGATCATTCTGATTTCTTCGGTGGGAAGAAAAACTATTCAGCTGATTTCTATTTGACTACTTCTACTTTTTGAGTAATGAATTTAAATTTAATTAAGATTACTAATAATTTACACTCACGCTAGCTGAACTAATCCAAAAAAGTTGACTAGGTGTATATTTTAATCCTGGTAATTTCTTCTCTGGACCATTATCTCTGACCCAAGCATGATACGCCTGTAAAAGATAATAATACCAATTATTTTAACAGTAAATTATAGTAAATTCGGGAATAATTGACAAATCTCTTATCTTGATTGTTTGAATCAAGTAATTAATTTAATGCGTTTCTAAATATTGAACTGAATTGTCACTTATAGATTACTAACTGTTATACACCATCCAAAAAATACTGTCCTAAATTTGAAAACCTAGTACTATAAGGAAAAATAAACGGTTACCACCAGCCACAGGCTGAGCAAGTCAAACAAATGCTGATTAAAAAAATATCAATCAATCAATTTTTTTCTATCAAAAATGCTTCTCATAAGAATTTAATTTTTTCATCAAATACGGAATTAAAATGAATATTTTATAATATTCTAAAAATTACTTTGGTTCACGCTTGTTTCTTAAAATTTATCTTCATTTTATAAATGAACCTTGTAATGTTTGCCTTATTTTGAGAAATGCTTTAAAAGAAATGTTTTCTATTATTAATATCAATGGCTTTTTATTAGTCATCCAAAATTTTCTGTGGAAATTGTTAAAAATACAGCTACTGGCTACTGGTTAGTAGCAACATTTTTTAATTTTTGCATTATATCTAGTACTCTAAAAATACTAGTTTAATTTTTATCGTATTTGGAAATTAAATTTGTTTAACCATAAGATCGATATTGTAAAAATATAATTGTAATAGTAATAATTTTCGAATGATATTTCAATTTTCTTATGGTCTCCAACTTTCTTCCAATGTGCCGAACCACCTGGTACAGATTTGTCATAATCCTTTAGCTTTTCAAAACAATTTACTATTTGAAATAGTCAGTGCAGAATTGATGTATGTAGATGATTTTGATATTTTTAGCAATGCTAGATGCTTTGAGTGATATTGAAATGATTACTATTTGAAATAGTCAGTGCAGAATTGATGTATGTAGATGATTTTGATATTTTTAGCAATGCTAGATCTTTGAGTGATATTGGTAGTTTTCAAATTTCTTTCAAATATATATGAAATTAACAAGATCCTTTATCCACAGCAAATAATAAAGTATTTTACTTTAACCCCCATGAATCAGCTGATTTCAATTAAATTACCGAGCTCCGACTCCGTAGCTACAGTTTTCAGGCGAAATCAAAACACATGAGAAATTCTGAAACAAGAATTCGAGCAAGCTCATCTTTTCAGGGGATTTTTTTGATGCAACTAAACCAACATTATTGCAGCAAGGTGGGGAAAAACCCGAAAACTTCCCACGATGAACTTGAACCAAGGGGATCTAACTCATGACTTATATTCCAATGGGGATACTTTAAATCAGCTTTGTGGCTGTTGTAAGTCAAGAGCAATATATAAATCAATAAGCCCTCGCCAGTATTCAATCATGAGCTTCCTCAAAGAGAACCGAGCGTTCTATTCTCTGAGTCCTCTCAGCTTATTATGAAGTATTTTTTATTACTGGCATTGAACAGACAACCCAATTTCGACTGTACTTGTAACTGTGAACCCAACCAAGAAGACTAGAGAACTACTGGATTAAGTATTGCGATAAATCAGCTTTCGTGGAGGACTTTTTGATGAAGTTTATCTGCATTTGGGTTAGATGGAGTGGGAAAGCCACGGAAGCCTAACATGGTAATCCCGAAGGCAAGGGGATTTTAATCCATGACTCTCGTCTAGCACCGAGGATTTTTTACGTCAGCGCAATGATCGGTGCGAGTTGGGAGTAAATTTTGCATCGACCAGCAATCGCTGGGATTTGAACCTGGGGCGACAAGCACATGATTTGTATTTTTTTGCGCTTTCGAATGAAAAATAGCATAACAAATGCTTTGCCCCTAACAAATAATATCTCATCAAATAGTTATTCTATAACCATCGTTTAACAGCTGAACAAAATTTGAGTTTACGGGGGCCAATGTTCAACTCCTTAGCCTTGTAATTTTAAACCTAATCAAGAAGAAAGGGAACTCTTGGATCAGTACCCCTAGAGGTATTGATTTGCTACGGGAACTTGAAAGACTTAGTGACCCTGAGAGATTTAATGTGAAAAATAACTATTTAATACATGGGGATTTCTCGGCCTGGTGGGTTTGAACTCTCGCTCACACGAACAAGAGTCCAACTCCCTGCCAACCAGGCTATTTCGGCCCACCAAATAGTTATTGGTCATATTAGTTATTGATATATCATAAAATTTAACAATCATAGTAGTTATTGATATGTTTCTATTTTTGCCTTGGGTTTTGCAGCTGTTTTATTGAATTCTAAATTTTTAAGTTCAAAAACTTGAGTTAAGATTCCTTAAGAAATTTAATGAAAAAAATTTCAGTAGTTTTTTTTAGCAATCAATTACTCGTTAAAAATCTGCAATTTAAAATACTAAAAAAAAATTCTTACTCGATATGCCTCTTTCATACCTCCATTGTCTGCAATATTTTCTCCTTGTGTGGTGATTCCATTTACCTAATTATTTAGATATGAATACAACTTGTAATTTAGCATTTATCACATTGTAAACATAGGTTGACGGAATAAGAATCATTATAAACACTACCGACTGCGAAAGTTTTATTTCGCAACGAGCAAGATATACATTTTTAATGTATTCTTAGTCATATATAATGTTTTAATACAAATAATTTTGACCCGGTGTGTACATTTCTATCCTTTATTCATCAAAGAAATGGTATATGTATTCAGAGGAACGCCACTATAATGAACTTGTGATATAGTGAACAGTTAACTACCATTTAAATAATATTGTTTTATACGCTGATAGTGGAGTAGTGAACAGCTGAAAAATTGGAACTAGTTTCTAGTGGTCTCAACTTTTATTTTCTCAGTTTTTTTCAGCTTTTTTTTTATTTCTCAAACTTTGAATTTACAGAAGTAGCGGTTACAAATGACAGCACTTGAAGTTGGGTCAAATCTTACTCTCGTATGATCCTTGCATTTTAAATCAGGATGAACAAGTTTTTTAACAGCACATACTTTTTCTTACGGTGCCTTTGTTGAACAAGGACAAGAAATTACTGCAACTTATATCTCGGAAGTGAAATCGGCATAATATGTTCAGATTTTTTTTTCCTCTGAAGAAAATAAGGACTAAATACTGGATTCTTTGCGAATTGTTGATATTTCATTTACCATGTAATGTGTTAAAATTTTAGTTTCGGACTTTATTAAAGACAATATTATTCCTCTAAATTTAGAGCGACGTGCAAAACGTTAAGTTATTGTTAGAATCTAAAAATATTGAACATTTTATAATTAAGTAAAACTTTATTGACACTAGGTTGATTAAAAACGCTTTCAAAAAATTAAGTTCACCAAGCAGAATGGCGTTTTCTAAGCGAAAAAATTTAAAGAAAAGAAAATTAAATCGATTAATACGAGCTTCACCGGTTAAACTGATTGGTACTATTAAAAACTAGTAATGCTTTAACAATGGCAAACTTATAGGAAGCTGCCATACACTATTGCACAAAATGCTCCATAGTGAAGACTATTTTAAATCTCAAGTCTAATGCATTAGGAGAAGTTAGACTAGATTTTCTTTTTCAGTGCAGTCAAAGATCACGGGTTTAACCAGTTTGAGTTAAGAAAAAACCTTACAACTGACTTAAATTTTAAATGTAAATTTTAAAATTGAATACAAATTTTAAAATTTTAAATGCAAATACCTCAAAACTGACAAATGAATTGCTGTCTGTAGTTAAAGAGACTAGAGAAATTTTGTACGCAAAGTTGACAATTTAAAATTTGATGTTAGTAGCTTTTGACTAAATTTAATGTTGTTGTGTATCAGATGTCTTTTACATTCATTTTTTAAAAAAAAAAACAAATAGAAAGTTTACTGAGAGGCCATTTTCGGTGGTGTAGTTTCCATATTGGTAAATGATGCAATTTGCTTTTTCATTAAAATTGTCAATAGTAGCTTGATCCCACCAATTTACATTGTTGCCTTCTTTGTCAAACTGTTTACCTGAGTAAAAATAAATGATACACTTTTAATGTGTTGTTATGATAATACTTTATGAATATTAAATGTTTAAATCTCGATTCATTTACCCATGTCATCAAATCCATGTGTAATTTCATGTCCAATAACGTAGCCGATAGCACCAAAATTCATATAACTGTAAAGAAAGAAATTCAGTTATTAGATTAATTCAGTAGCACGGATTAGGACTTCATAATAAATGCCTTTTTAATGGTTGATTTACAAACACTTGACATGCTACTTGTTTCATAACGGCGGTGATTAAAAATATTTTCGAAAAGTATACACATTAGAGGTCACTTATATTTCAGAGTGGAAAATTACAAATCAAACTCTAACGATAAAACAGTTTGAGTGCTTGAAAAAACTAAGGAGTATTTGAAATAATCGCCGACAATCAAGAAAGTTTAAATGTTTCCTTAACTAACTGGGCATTTGTTCATACATTTGTACTGGGCATATATATAGATAGCTTCAAAAAAATATTACTTTGTGACTTCTAATGTGTATAGTTATTTTTACTTCATTTTTGACAAGGATTCTGAAAATACATATTAAATTTGATTAATGCGAAATGCCTTGTATAAAGCAAATATCACAAAATGATTTCAAAATATTAATGTTAACACAATTTATTTGAAATTTCACATTTATAAATTGTATTTTTAATGTTCTTAAAACATTATCTCTTATAAAACTCGAAAAGACATTCAGAAATATCCAATGAGCAAGAAAGTGAGCATGCGTTGCAAAGCAATCTGAAAAGAACTGTGGAAGCAGTTCTAGGTGTGGTGAGAGCACTAAGTGGGGGTGCCTAAACACGATAAATTTTCGTGCAGCACACAAGAAACGACTGAAACTTATGTTGTCTCGTTAGGCACTAGAAGAGATGTAGAGGGTCGGGGAAAGCCTGGTTGGTAGGGTGCTGGGCCCATCCACAAGGGGTCTCGTGTTCGATCCCTGCCAGCTGTTGATCCAAAATGTTGACTGGAGAACACTAAATATGTTGGCCGCACAATGTCCTCTGTGTTTCCATAACGAATCATACCTCTGGGGGGGGGTCTGGATCGGAGATTGATCGTTTGATCGTGCTCTCTGGTTCAGGCCAAAGTTACGATCTGTGGATGGATGATGTGTGAATATGTACACCCTGTGAAACGGGCTGCGACGTTTGTCCGAGGCTAAAACGTATTCTTGTCAGTAGATGGCTTCACGGAAAAACAAGAAACGCACCTTTTGCTTTAAATATCTGCTTGATTCTCAAGCGGAATCGCTGAGTTGGCAAGTGGCACAACAACATAAATCTGAATTGTTTGTGAGTAGCCGAAATTTCGATTGCAATGTTCCATACTAAAAAACAGTTAAGTGAGTTAACAAAAACGTAGTAATAACAGTTATCAATGTTTGTCTCCTAAAGTTTAGTCAGTCGTGATCAATGAATTAAATCACTGTTTTGAATGGATTTACAAAGAGGATTTTATAGACGTTTTAATAGAAAAAAAAATCTAAATGACAATGAGGATATATAAATAAAAGGCCGATGACTTGAAATCATTATTTGTTACTTACGTTGGTCTGTCTTTATTGAAAAAGGCATTTTGCAATATTCCGGCTGGAAAATCTGAAAGAAACGATTAATGATCAGTGAGAAAGTCCTGTGCAGTTAAGACAAGCCCTCGTTTAAAATAGGATGCTAAATTTTTACCTATTGTGTTTTCAAAGAAGTTGAAAAAAGCGTTGACCATCGCTATGTCTGCATGCGCTTTCCACCTGCCAAAATAATAAAAACAATATTGAACCACAACGAGTCAGTAAGAAATTATGAAAAGTTTAATATTTTAACAGATGTCATTTAAACGATTTTTAAATAGCTCCTGCGAAATATGAACTGTTTTTAATTTCCATATGGCTGTAAAGGAAACTAAAAGAGAAAAAAAACGGTAGTTCTTGTTCCCATTCAAAACTTTTAACTATTTTCTCATTAATTTTAAGTACGTTTACTAAACATTTTAGCAGAATATCTCCAATTGAACGTTAGGAAATTATGTAAGAATAAAATCGCAGTTCATGATAACAATATGATGTAGTTGAATCTGCTTAAATTGTTAGGTTGGCTTAAGTAGTTGTATACTTCCATTGAGCTTGAATGAAAAGGTAGTTGTCTTTCTTGCGTTTAAATAAAACTCACATTCCTAAATTGCGTTTGATGATAAACCTATCTCCATTGCGTATAAAATGCTATGTTTCTAATGAAGAAGACAAGCATCGAATGCGTTTGAATAAAACACGCATATTTCTATCGTTTTTATTAAAAAAAATATTCATTCTCATTACGCAGGGACAATAAAGTGCGTTTCCATATTAAGTATTCTCGATAAAACACGCGCCTCATTTGCAGCATTCTATGATAAGCTAATTTGACTAACTTCCATTACAAAATTTTTAACAATCATTTGTCCCTTATCTAATTAAAATTTTTTACAGTCACCCTCATAGCAGCTGCAATATTTGTGAAATAAATAAAGAATACAAAGTACAGCTTTTTGAGCTTTTGATATCATAAGAAGAAGCTTTAAGCCATTGAGATTTTGCAATTTCAACAAAAGAATATGAAAATTTATGTTAGTGAGTCCAATAAAATCCTTTATTGTTCCAATTTGTTAACACACATCGAAACAAAATAAGGTGGGCCTTTTCCTGAAATGTCCTTTTTAATTCATTGGTGCAATAGTCTTTTGACTCAGTCAATTATCCCGAAGTCATGTTCTTTTATAAGAGTTTTCTACAAGCAGTTCAATGAAGCCATGACAGGACTGTGGAGCTGTTGGACCTTTAACAGTCATACTCTTTAGATTCTCACAGTTGATTGCCTTCCAGAATGAACTTCATTGCCGCCATCTTCATAACCTTTACAAAAATTCTTCATGCAACCGGAAAACTTGGCGTCCCAATAAACAATCATCTTAAAACAATTTTTATCACTAGAAAAGTTTCCAATGTAGACTTATTGAGTCTTAGCGTAGTGCGTTTTGAGCTTTTAATATCATAAGTGGAAGATTCAAGCCTAGTGGAATCGTTCCCAGATCCCCCGATTTTAACCGGTTCAAAGTATTTGCTTCAGAGGAAAATTAGTGACCTTAAAATTTGTAAAAACCGTGTGTAAACAACCATTTTCTTAAATGAACTAAGTAATTTGTTTGCATTTATTTAGGAAATAACTAAGTGGCTTCTAAATCAGTATCATAAATCAGTTCTGTTTCAAAATCGTTAGAATAATTTTTTTAATAAACATTTTATTACTTGGGTCAGCAATTTTAAAAGGGAACTTTAAGAAGTTTGAACTGACATTTATGTACTTATTTTGTTGTTTCTAGGCTTAAAGTTTTTTTTTTCAATCTATACTCAATCGAGTATAAAGAAGATCTATTATATATATGAAGCATGCCATGTATGTTTAACGAAGTTATATACACGTGCAATATATAAACTTGGAATATGCGAAACCATAATGTTCACATATTCAAAGCGAAATGACCATAAATGTCTTGGGAAAAAAATTTACAATTCTGGAGAGACAAACAATTGAATTCTGGAGAATTGAGAATTGAAAGAGCCGCGGTGGCTCAGGGAATCAATGATAGATCCGTAATAGTTAGATTATGGGTAGAGTCCTCTTGTCATCGGAGGCTAATCGTGAAAGGTGTTCATGTTTTTCTTCTCCGTGTAACGTGTTAGTTCCATCAGAAGTGTTCCACGACGACAAATTTCTCCCAATACTTGATCCAAGAGTTTCTTTGTCTTCTGGAATAGGTTCAAAATTACCAGGCTACGCAGATGAACATTGGTAGGCTTAAACTCAGAATTGGATCTGCTGTTCAGCAATGGTTTAAAAAAAGTTCTGCTTATTGTATTGGTATAATAAAATCAAAGCATTCCTAATTCCTTTGGCAATTCAAAAATTAACGAAAATGCATATATATAGCTTCTAAAATTAGTAAAAAAATCACAAAGCGTAGATTTAAGAAAGAATTTTAAATATGCTGAATTATATGCTTATTTTTATTTCTCAGTTGCAAAACTTTTAAAAATCAGCTAATTTAAGTAAACGCGACTATATATTCATTTGTCATAGTTAATATAGTTTTCTGAATTAAACTTAATAAATAATCCAAATAATATATAATAGCTTAAGCGACTAAAGATAAACTTTTCAAAAAAAGTGCACGTATTTAAATAAGGCTTATTATATTGTTTAGCACAGGCTAAACTAAATTACTCATAAATTTAATTATTATTGAACGATTTAGATTAACATAGCTTAACTTATTAATTTAGCAATATTTTTCCAGAATTTCTTTTTTAAAAATTGATTTTATGATATATTTATTTCAACTTAATATTTCATGCAATAACCGTTAAATGATTTGAATTTTAAAACATCATGGATCTAGTTAATAATTTGACATTATTTTAACAGAATATTTATAAAAAGTAATATCACTATATTATTTAAGTAAAATAAATAATTCATAAAGTGAACGTTAAATTATTTAATTTTGTTGGAACTCTTATACTCAATTTATTAATTTCGCATTGTTTTAAAAAAATTATTTTTCAAAATTTTTTTTTATAATATTTTAACACATAGTTAACACTTTTTTGCCCAGTTGCTTAAGTATTTAAACGATAATTTGTTCACACTATTGCTAGTGTATAATAAGATTTTGTTCTCAAATTTTGGCTTTTATTTCAGCATGAGAAGCAGTTACTCACTCTTTCTTTATAAATGGCTTTCGCAGTTTTGAAACTTCCTCATCAACTTTCCACTTTTTAATATTCAAAACATTGCTGAAGTAGTTTTCATTTGCAACTGTTAACTGAAAAAAAAATAGATGCACATTGTAACCCATAATTACATTTGAGTATTTAAATAGTTCACATAATTTTTTGTTTTTGTTTTTATTAAATGTACTTACTGCTTTATAATAATCCGAAACAATTGAATCGTTTAACAGCTCTTGAGGATAACCTATATAAGGAGTAATGGAGTTCACCTGCAATATGTCATTCAATAAAAATTGTATAAAAGATTAATTTATTCAAATAATTTGACAAGTCTTTAATTTTCAAGAACGATCAAATGGAAACAAGATAAAAAAAAAACAACATAATTCTTAATTGCACTTTAAAGTCCCCACTTAGTACCTCAGTGACAAAAATATTTTTATTAATCTGTAAAATCATGAGGGAATTCAAAATTTTTTTTGAAGATTTGTACTTAAATGTTACTCATAAGGTTAAAAAAAAAGGCAAGAATAGTTAAGATCACAATATACTATGGAATAATTGCCTTTCTGAAAGAAAGTTTCTAAAATAAGTAAATAAGAATGTTATTAGTTTAAAATTTATTAAATTTTAAATAAAAAAGTAAATAAAAAAGTAAATAAAAGGACAATTTTGCAGCCCTGAAACTAGAATAAAAAAATTTCTTGATATCAGTTAATTTCAGCTCATCGAAAAGAAATCATTGTTATTAAATAAATAAACCAATGAAACTGAAGCGATAAGATATTATTTTATTTAAAAATTTCATTTGCTTCAAAAATATACAAATTGGAAATAACAGTCGACATGTTTCAAGCTCTCAAAAACAGATGCCCATATTCAAGACTTGCCAGACATAAATAACAAAAGTAACTTGAAATAAAAACGTAATGTTGCTTACGTAAAATGAAAAAAAATTGTGAGAAACAAGACTAGAAAAAAAAAAGCTACGAAAAACCACAGTAGCCGAGAGAAAGAAAAATCGGTATTATAACTTTTTTCACTCTCGACAAGCATGGATTTTTCTAATTTTCTTTTCAGTTCTGTTTGTAACCTCTTTTTTTCCATTTTCCGTTGGCAACTTTAAAAATAAGTGCCTGCTTTTGAGCACTTGCATATTTTTGAAATGAAATTTGTATATTTTCGAGCGAAATTTGTATATTTCTGAAGTGAAAAATGTTTATCCAATTAATCAATGTCTTTCAAATATAGCAATAACGTATTTTTTGTAATTTCAAAATTAAATCATAATTTCATTTAATGCTTTTCTCAAAAAAATAAATCACTGCTGTACTATGTAATCCTTTCATTCAATATTCCCTGCATGTGAATGTGATGTTTTTATTTTTTAACATTTTTTTACATCAGCAATAATACATAAGTGTAAAATTCGGAAACCATAACATGGTTACTACAATATAATGTTTTTTTCTTTATAAAAAGTCGTTACTGTTTCTAAAATTTCTTAAGCCTCAACACATTTGAATGCACAAGCCTAAGAAGATGGATTTCGACAACAATTTATAAGAATTAATAGCCAAATATTTTAAATCTGCAAAAATCGAAAAAAAAAAAAAAATTGAAAAAAAAAATTATTTAAGCAAATCAAAAAGATTAAACAGAACATAGGGTAAGTAAAAAAAGTTCATTAAAGAAGAGAATTCAGGTCATGAAACAAGAAAAAAAAGAAAAAAAGAAAAAAGAAACGATTCCCTCGTTTTAAAAATTTTGAGTATTCTTCCAGTTTTTAAATTTTGCGCGCCATAATAACATCGTGATAGAGAAATCTAGATTTTTAAATTTTAAAAACTGTGCGTAATTCGTAGCAATAACTACCAGGCAATGATCAAAACAGTGCATAATTTGCAATGGAATAAAAGCAAATCAAGTACGTCAAACGGTAATAACTTGAATGTGTGAATTCAGTTTCACGCGTCATAATAATATATTGGAAATTACGGTTAAAATAGGTATTTCTGGAGAACAACAGAAGGACTTTACCAACCCTGGTCGATCGTACCAAATATGATGCTGACGGTGTCAGGATTTTGGAAATCATGTGACAAGCCGTAGAAATAACAGAAACGTCTTTAAAATCATTGGAAAAACCACAAAGATAAACAATCGGCAAAAAGATGAATCACCCTTATTACTTTTGAACGGTTGATTGGGTTTTCATTCAGTAAAATGCTATGGCAATATATCAAAAAAATGTCCTAAAATATGTATTACAGCTTAAAACCGTGGCGGAATATGCTTATTTCAACAAAGACGTGCTTTTTCTAAAGATGCATGTATAATTTTTTTACTTCATTCGACTCAGCATGAAAAAATATGCCCTGAACCGAATTTCATAAAATTCGGACAATTAGGAGGAGACAAAAAGTGAAGTCTCTAATTTTCGGCATTGGCAGAAACTTATGCAGCGAACGGTAAACTGGCTGTCTTTTGGTTATTGCCTACTGTTATATATAAAAAGTATGAATGACCTCGAATTTATAAGAGGCTTAAATAGTGGAAGCGAAATTTCCTTTTTTGAAATAAAATCTAGAATTTATGTTTTTTTTCTCTGGCTGTTTGGGTTCAAATGGGTGCGGCGATTTGCCTTAAATAATCTTTTTATGTATGAAAGTAATCTGTTTCCTTTTTTTCTTCTTCATTTAACTCAGTTTTTTTGAAAAAAAAATCAACAATCAACAGTAGAATAATTGATTGATTTAAAAATTTATTTTTTAATAAAATTTTTTAAAAATTACCAACCTTTTCTTTAGCTAGTTTTTTAGTTTCGCTATCCATCCAATCTATATCATTGAGTATGTTCAAAAATTCTTTGCTAAGGTAGCCTACCATTTCCAAAGCCTAAAATATATTTTCACTTTATTAAAACTATTTATTGAAATAAATGTGGGTGTTTTAATAAAAATCCCACATTCAGGTAGTGGGGTTTTTATTAAAACACCCACGCACACATTGAGTCTCAAAATTAGAAATTCTGAATTTTGCTCAGTTTTCAGATCTGAGCTTATTGCGATTGAAAATGGCCTAAGACATGTTGAGAATATTGCTGAGCCTGACTTTAAGCATATATGGATACTGACGGATAGCAAATCTTCAATCCAACACCTTTGCAACTGGAGGAATGTTGGAGACAGGGCTGCGGCTTCAATTTTGGGGATGCTCTTCAGGCTATGTGCGGACTTTGAAGTACACTTCCAATGGATTCCATCACACGTTGGAATCAAAGGTAACGAGATGGCGGACTCACTGGCTAAAGATGCTTCTTTGGAACCTCTACAGCCAGATCTACCTTCCACTTTCAACGAGGTCTTTTCGGAGTGCAAAAAATGTTTATGGACCTCTGGAGGGTTCCTCCTCCGCATAGTTGGTATTTCAGAAAACGACCTGGAAGTGCCTTGCTTTTTGAGGGACCTAGAAGCCAGCAGACTTGTTTATCTCGCTTTGCAAGTGGTCACTTGAGGTGTCTCTCGTATGTTCAGGGGCAAAAGACTTTTGGACTTTGCACTAAATGTAGGACTGCTCAGGCTTCGCCCGAGCATATTCTAAACTGTATCGATTTTAAGATCGATGAGGTTTTTTCAAAACCTCATCTGTTTTTAGACTTCCTGGACATTTTTGGACTTATGGAATTGGTCTAATTGGGATGGACCTCTTGGGGATTAGAAACAACAACAACATTGAAATAAAGAAATAATAATATTTCAGTTAGAAAATTTCTGTAAAGAAAAGGATTTTAGTATGATTGTTATCTTAGCTAAGCATAATCATTTTGTTCGTATTTGAGGAGCCATTTTGAGTAAAAAGTTTCAGAAACTGGTTCTGGTAAGATTATATTATTTTAGAATATTACTATCTATACCTCCTCTATGAAATTTTGGAAGACATAGTTATGCGTTATAAAACAGGGTTCTCAAATTTTGGCTCAAGGGCCAATACCGGGTCTAAACACACCTCTGGCCGACCCCTATTTATTGGGATTATCCATGAAATAATATGAATGAATCTTACGAAATAATAATCTAAAGAAACACAATAACTTATATGCCTAGGGAAATCGAACATTTTAATTGTAATTAATGGCATGAAAATTTCCCTAAAAACCTTACAATAATTGAAACCCACATAAAATAGAAGTCTCACTCACTGGGTACTTCCGAAACAAAAATGTGCGTACAATTCAAAACTACTGAAAACTTGCTAATAGTGTGCTACAAACTATGCTACAAACTAAGAATGCCACTTTTTCAGACAAATGTAGACGTGCACATCTGAAACTCTTAAAATAGTCCCCAGAAAATGAAAAATCAGTTCTTTTACTTGCATTTTCCCATAATATTGCTTCATCACCTGCTTCTAGTTAGATTGTTTACTGGGAACTTATTGGAGGAGTCTGTGTGACTAAAAAAGTCAGTCAGTCAGTTAAAAAGTCTGGAGTCGACTCAGGTAAAATCGCTTTTAACACTAGAGCTGCCGGATTTCGAACTTACCTAAAACTACCATTTGAGGTCAATTTGACTATCATAAAAAATTGATGCTTTTTCAAAGTAAATGATTTTTCAAATGATGAATATTGTTTAAAATGCAGTATTTAAGAGTTTTTAGAGATTTAAAATATTTTGTTTCGTTTTTTTTAATTTAATGCAATGAAAATATAACATTTTTATAATGTATTATAGTGTTGCAGACTATTACATCGCGAGAGCACAAGTAATACGAAAACAAACAAATGCCATGAATATAAATAATCTATATTAACACACATCATGCTTTAAAGTGTTAAGTTCTATTACTAGTTATGCATTGAGTAAGCGTATACAGTATTTGCACGTGACGTAAAAGTGACAACAAAGCATTGATAAATGTTTTTTAGCACTTCTCGTTGGAAGTATTTGTTTCATTTTGAGCCTTGCGATGTTAAAAGACATGTTCTTTTATTTAAGGACTGAATTTTATGTTATCTGCTGCTCATAGTGGTAATTTTGTAGTTCTTCAACAAATACAAATGAGTAATTTGAGGGGGAGGGGCAGAGGATTATGTAATAGTGAAGGGCAGAGGTAGATGGATCATGGATTAGAATCCCATTGCCGTTGGACTGACCTTGGTTATTTAGTGGTTTTCCTCTCCTAGTTACGCCAAAGGTGGGTTAGTTTTAACAAAAAGTACTCCACGAAGACTAGTTTGTTTCAATGCTTGATCCAGAAGTTTCCTTGTGCACTGGGTTGGGTTCAAAATTACAAGGCTACAGGGTTGGATATTGATAAATGTAAACTCTGCTTTTGGGCAGCTATTCACTGCTGGCTATAAAATAAAAAGTATTACCCCTTGCGAGATTTAGCTAGTTTCTTGTGTCGGAGGCGCTTTTCATAATTTTCTGCTAAACGATTTCATGCAATCCTATATATTTTTTATACATGGCTGATAGATTGATCAAAGAGCAGTTGCGAAATGGTGAGTTAGTGAGGAAGAGGAAATAATCCTAGAACTCTATCAAATGTAGCAGGATCAGTGAGAACGTTAGGTTAGACTAAATCGCTAGAAAACGGCAAATTGGTCTACCCTCACTGGTCTTCAACTTAAATTCCTAAAGAATTTATTTTGACAATTTAAGATGAAGTTAAAGTCAGATAATCATTTCAATATATATATATATATATAAAAACAAGTCTAAAATAGGGAATAAAACGCAGAACAAAAACTGAGAAACAATAAAATCATTAAAAAAATATTTAACTGGAAGGGAGAGTGTTGATTCTTGGAGTAAGACCTTGGAGTGAACATNAAAAGTTTTTAATTTTAATATATTAGATAATTTTAATATATATATAAAAAAACAAGCCTAAAATAGGGAATAAAACGCAGAACAAAAACTGAGAAACAATAAAATCATTAAAAAAAAATTTAACTGAAGGGGAGAGTAAGACCTTGACGTGAATATTAGCGTTACCTAGTGAGAGACTTTTGTATACAGTATACGTAATTTCTATCTGTTTCAATATGCAGTCCTACCTGCTGTATTGGTGACTTTTCTTAGATTTTTTCCGGCATGTGCTAGAGATCTGTGCTTGTTGTTTCAGTTGAGTTATTTTTTTATTAAATATGTATGGAAAATAATGCTTTTAAGTACTTGTACTTGAAATCAGAATTTAGAAATTTACAAAAATGTCTTTCTGTTTAAGATAAGACATTTTTTTTCTTTTTGGTAGGTGTAAGAAATATAATAAAGGGGATGCTTCTTGAAAGCAAGAACAATCCATGGTATGTATAATGTATCCAATTATTTTTGGAACATTCGGAAAAATATTCTTTGGTTATTATGTTTATGATAAACTTAATTTATTTGTGGTTATGCAGGATACATGAAAAAGAAGATTGAATTGCATCAGTATAAAAATTTAATAAAACTAACGAATTAAAAAGAGAATAAATTCAAAATGAGTGTTATCTCAGAAGTAACATAAAATGGAGGTTCAAGGTAGAATACCCTCGTGTAATGTGTAACGATTTTCCTTACTTCTAACTTTTTTTTCCTAAGTGCATCACAAAATTCATTTATAAAAAACATAGAATAATCGACAAACGCATAATGAAATTTCCCTAAATGTTCAAAGTTATTTGATTTAATATTTTCTGCTCAAAAATAAAAAGTTAAAGCAGGTCTAAAGTTCAAAACTCTCTTTTACTTACTTTCTGTTTGCTGTCTCCTTTAAAGTAATGCTTTATGTAGTATGAACTCACAGCTATTCCAAGATGTCCATTTACAGACCTCAAACACGTTTCCCATCGTGGCTTCTCTGCACTTTCCCCTGACAAAGCGGAACTGTATTCATGTTTCAGTGCTCGCCAGTCCTTCGACAACGAACCCAAGGATTCTCCAACAACTCTCCACATCATGTAGTTCGCAACAACCCTAAATAAAAATACTATTTTTAAAAAAATATTTCTGACAAGCCTATTGCTGGAATTATATTCATATTTTGTGAAAATTCTCTCAAATTAATAACTTTTATTATTGTATGCAGATGTCTGAAATTTACTGAATATTGATTACTGAATGCTTAGCTCTTTCTCTAAATTCAGCGTGGTCACCATATTTTGACCCAAAAGGGCAGATCAAATCGCAAAAATTGCAGTTTTATATGAAATCAAAATTTTCCATGTAAACGTAAGCACCAAGAAACGATTAAAACAGCTAATTTAAAACCACTTTAAATAGTAAAATTTTTACTTAGCAATGTTGCGTTAAAATATTTTTGGGAATGAAATTCATTTAGTTTATTACCTAAATTTAATTTAATGTTTTAGACTATTCTTTTTATGGGAAGGAGGGTGGAGAAATTTTATCTACTGCAAAGAATTGACTATAAACTCCTGAGCATATAAACAATTTAATTTATAAATTCTGTAATTATAACTAGAAATAAACTCAGAGATCAAGTGAACGAAAAATGAATGATCAAGTGAACGAAAGCATTACACACAAGAAAAAATAGCTTCTACATGCTAGCCTTCTTGATCCCACGATCCCCTTGATAACACACAAGAAAAAATAGCTTCTACATATAACACACAAGAAAAAATAGCTTCTACATGTTAGCCTTCTTGATCCCACGATCCCCTTGATAACACACAAGAAAAAATAGCTTCTACATGTTAGCCTTTTTGATCCCACGATCCCCTTGATAACACACAAGAAAAAATAGCTCCTACATGCTAGCCTTCTTGATCTCACGATCCCCTTGATAACACACAAGAAAAAATAGCTTCTACATGTTAGCCTTCTTGATCCCACGATCACCTTGATAACACACAAGAAAAAATAGCTTCTACATGTTAGCCTTCTTGAACCCACAAAAACTTTTACTGTTAACCACTTTTACGTAAGCAAAGCATTTCATTTGTCTTTTGGATTTATTTTCTAAAGTTATCAGAATATGCTCTCACAAATTATAGGAGGGAAATTAGCTTCCCACCGCCATTTAGAAACTAATGAAGTTCATGGGAAGAATTCTTCCCACGTCTGAATAAGGGGCTGACACACGACTAACAGCTTTTGTGATTCGCTGTAAATTAAAATATGAGACATGCGGTTTTCGCAGTAGTACGTACTAAATTTATTTTTGATGATTTAAATTTTTTAAAACTGTTTTTGATTGTATTTCGCCTCGTAGTTTCAAGAAGGAAAACACGTTTTTCTTATCAACTTTACTTTTAAGGATAAGCTGCAGCTAAGTTATAAAAATAATTAAAAAAAATCATTATTAATAAAAAATTCTTATTTGTCAATTGCTTAGAGTACTTAAAAATATGACGGCAGGGTTATGAAATGAAAAAGTTTTTAGGAGAAAAGGCTTTTATAAATTTTAGAACTTTGAACAACACTGTAAAGCTGTGAGCTATTTTAACTAGTAAGGAGTTAACTTGAAGTAAATGACATGCAATAAAAACCTGTGAAAACTAAATTTTATTTATATTTAAAAAAGGCAAAAAAGCACAACTAATACTCATTTTTCAATGAATGACAATGAATAAAAATGAATAAAACACTTATTATTGAACCAGCATAACTATCATTAAAACATAATATTGAGCACTTTGCTGTGATAAACTATTGACTTTTAACTGTTCCATTCTTCACAACTTAAAGCTCAGTTTGTTTCAGCATCTCGTTGCTCTCTCGAGTAAATAACTTTGTTCCAGAAATTTGTATATATACAGAGATGCCAACTGATCCAGACACGCCAAAATAATTAAAAAAAAGAAATGGTAAAATAACTACTAACTAATTTTGCAAATATTTGACAATTTTTGCTTGCTGTTTAAAGGGTATAGCATGACACAAGTACTAGTAAGTGGAGAATTATATAAACCTACGAATTATTTAAAAATAGTGGTAGATAAAAATCTACTAAATTGAATTTATTAAAACAAGAAACACAATTGATAAAATACCACTTTAAAATATTTATTTGCTGTCCGGAGCAAGTTGGCATCTCTGTATACATCGAAGAGCCATTACATTATGACCACCCTCCATCTATAACATTGGGCTCGCCCAGGTTTTCATGGTTTCAACACAGGAAAAATGTTTTCATGGAGCACATTAGGACCCATAATCCTCATGAACAATCCCTGACTTCTGTAAGCTACTTGAACATAGTTGCAGACCAGGTTCACCCATTCATGGCAACAGTTTTCCCTGCGGGGGATGGTGTTTACCAACAGGATAATACACCATGTCATAAGGGTCGAATCGTCATGGATTGGTTCGAGGAATATTCCAGTGACTTTCAAGTCATGTCTTGGCCCTCAAAGTCACCTGACCTTAATCCAATAGAGCATTTGTGGTCCTACTTGGAAAACCGAATTCGTGCTGCCACGCTACCCCCTCGCAATGTGAGGGAATTGCAGGACCAGTTGGGGAGCGCTTGGTACCAGATACCTCAGACTACCTATCAGCACCTTGTGGAATCAATGCAACAGGCGGGTGCTAGCAGTTTTGAGGGCTAAAGGTGGTCCTACATGTTATAAGCAGGGTGGTCATAATGTAATGGCTCTTCGGTGTATAAATACGTTTAAGCTCATTCATGATTATGACAATTCACACTCTCGATATTTCAATTCTTTGTTGCCAACGTGGAAAAGAAGTAAAGCATATATATATATATATCTATATATATAAAAATCTCTTGTCACAGTTTTAGTGGTTAAACTCCTCCTAAACGGCTGGATCGATTTTGATGAAATTTTATATGTATATTCAGTAGGTATGAGAATAGGTTTATAACTAANAGCGCTCCATGCCACTGCCACTCACATACCACATACGCACACACTTACAATAAATAAGATATATTTTCATACTCTAGAAATAAATCATATGGCAAAACAACGTTTGCCGGGTCAGCTAGTATATATATATATATATATGTGTGTGTGTGTGTGTGTGTGTGTGCGTGCGTATGGGTGTGTGTTTTACGATTTAACTTAGATGACGTTACTTGCAGGTATCCTATTTGCTATGTTGTAAAAATAATTAAAAAACTTAAATGAGCAAAAAATATATAAATTTAAAAATTAAATATACCACCTTTTATCTGTCGTTGTGATGAGTTCCCCGAATTTTTTAAGAAAGTCCGGTACATCTACGAGCACCGTTTCAGTTTCAGTTATCGGATCAGCCACAAGCCCATTAAAATATTTAATCCAATCAATCTACATAATAAAAATTACAATTATTTTCAAAATTTATTTTGCAACTTTGGGGAAGAATTTTGTTTTGTTTTATGAGGTATTAGAGTTTTAACTGACCTTTTGTCAGTTAAAAACTCTCATGCCTTACGTCACTGATATCAAATATGAGAGAAAATAAATCGGTTTCTCTCCTCATGCTACAGTTTTTTTTTTAAAAAATTACATTTTAAGTATATTTTTATGACGAAATGTACAAGTTTATAAACGTTTTTATGACAAAGGGTAGCATAAATGTTGCGCCAAACTTCTAGATGAGTTAAGATATATCATCAGGTTTAAAACCTCATAGGAAAACATGCACGGAAACTTCATTATTCAATTTTAAATTTTAATTCTGATGATGCGCCCTAACTCCTCTAGTAGTTTGTCTCCTGTTATATATAACGACCGCGACCACCTGTTATCTATAACGCTTTTAAATTCATGCATTTCAACAAAAAATAGACTAGAAACACCCCTTAGAAAAATCTGTATCATTGGGAACAAAACTAATTTCAGAATTTAAATCCTCACATTCGATTTAGACAAAATTAAGTATTTGTATAAATGCAACAAATAATTTGTTTCCCATATTGTTATATGGCATATATTAATATAATAAGCAGGTATAATGGCAGATACTTTAAAATGTGCATAAAGTATCTGTCATTATACCTGCTTATTATATTAATATATGCCATATAAAGCAACTGTTTATTAATCTATAATATGCAATTTGCATTTATTTTCACAATTTATAAACTACTTCTATTTTAACGTTTATCCCAAAACTTTTACATGTCTTAGGTTTAAAATATCTATTATTGTCATATCCGTTACACCTAATACTAACTGTTTGATAAAAGTAGCATTCAAATCTATGGTAATAATATTTAATTTTAAATTTCTCTATGAATAAAATAAATATAACCATTTAGCTACAAGCTTTAATTTTTAAATAATTATTAATTTGTAAGCCAAATTAATTGTATATCATGCAAAATATTTGTATACTTTTCACATAATTAATATTAATATTTCGAAGGTATATATATCAATTAAGATTTTAGAGACAATATTATCAATTGTAAATACAAATACTTTAATTTTCTTTTTAGAATTCCAAATCAGAAGTTATTGAAAAAGAAATGAAAAATTAAAAATATTTAGCAGATTAGTAGCATTTAAAATTTTTTAAAATTTGGATACGGTAGGTAGATGGTACCAAAGGAGGAGAATGGTTAATTTCTATTGCACTAGAAGCATTTTGAAGGTCATTCAAGGTCATTCAATTGCTGATAATTATAAATATTTTTATGTTACTAGCAATGCTCTGGATTTACCCCCTCAATGTTTGTGGGTTCGAATCCTATCGATAACTGGTAGATTCGAACTTCGCACTCGGATTGCACCGAGCATAGTGCTCACGAAATTTATGGTCAGAGATAGACGGATCATGGGTTAGAGTCCTCTTGCCTTCAGGTTAACCATGGGAGGTTTTCGTGGTTTTCTTGTCCATGTAATGCTAATGCGGGCTAGTTCTATCAAAAAGTCCTAAACAAAGGTAAATTTCTTTCAGTACTTGATCCAGGAGTTCCTTGTCCTCTGGATTGTGTTTCTAATTACAAGACTACAGAGTCGAATATTGGTAGTAAATTCAAAAGTGGGTCTGGTGTTTAATGACGGTTATAAAATTACAAAAAATTAAAAAATCAATACGCAATGCAACATAACTTCATTGCTTACAGCTTAAAGTTTCTTAGAAATAATACCAAATTTTTCTGGGTAGATATAATAGTCAATACTTCTAGTAAAATTTCTATATTAATAATAATTCTTTGTTTGTAGCCTTTCATCGTCTATTTGTGCAAAAATGACCATTACGCATTGTAAAACAACTCTATCATTTCTTAATGCTTAAATTTTCTTATATTTTTATACCTAATACTTCTTAGTTACTAATGCTTAATATCCAAAAAGAGACTAGGGTATCTTCTGTGCTGCGTAGATTAAAGAAAGAAAAAAAGTAAATAAAGCACAAATAGCACACGAAAATAAACATGCTATATTGTGTCAGTTTTCTAAACAAGAATCATCCTCAGTGTTACTATTCCAAAATGAATTTTTTGGTATTTAGACATTGAATCAATTTCTGGTGATTAATTTTCCGGTGCTTACATTGAGTGCTGATGAAAATATATTGTTGACAATGTCATTTTTCTTGGTCATACTATTAGTCAATACACTATATGCTTTCATAAAGATGCGTTTAAAAAAGATGTTTGGGTTTGTAAGAGTCTTGTAATTTGGCATGTAATTTGTAGTTTACATATTTGACAGGGAATATAACAATTTTCGAGCTCATTTTATTTAGGCTGTAAAGAACTTGATGCTTAGTGTCATATACATAACACATGTAAATAACACAATTTTTTTTTTAATTTCAGTAACAAATAAAAATTTTCTTAATTTCATCTTTAGTTACTGAAATATGGAACTATTCTAAAATACAAAACGCTTTATATTTTGATGCTTTTTTAATTTTACTAGAATAGTAAATTCTAGAGCATTCTCTACTGTACATAAAATCCAATTATAACTATTTCATTTTAATCAATTTTCCTAGATTCTGTGAATTATTTATCTTATTTCATAATAAAATAAACGAAGCATCTATGTTATGTTATAATTAACTATGTATACGGCAGCATTTATCCTATGTTATAATAAACTGCAGCATTTAACCTTAACTAAATAACAACCTTAACTAAATAGTAACCTTAACTAAATAACGTTATAGTAAACTAAAGTATACGGCAGCATTTATCCTATGTTATAATAAACAAAATATACGGCAGCAAGTTAAATCTACTCTTGCTTTATTAGTGTTTACGAACTCTGTCAATCCATATAAGCTCAAAAATATAAAGTTTTTAATTTTTTTTACTAATTTTTTTAAAACTTATTTTTTTTAAAAATTAAAAATATCTGCTGAAAATATTGATTAGTTTTTTATTCGATATTTTGTTAGATATAAATTTATAATTAATGCAGACATATTTCTTAATGAAAAATGTTCTCCTTACCTGTGAAACAAGTTCTCTTAATTGTGGTATGGTATACTTGTGATACATTTTATCAAAGTCCCTTCTTTCTTCATCCGGTAATGAATTCTAGTAATGAAAGTTAGACTATCTTAAATGAAGAATAACTGAAGTTTTAAAGAATTCTTAACAATAATATCAATTGTTAAATGAATAATCCAAGATATATTTGATAATACATAAAAAAAGTGAAAGTGGTAAAAAATCTACATATTTCGAGGGCTCAAGAATAGGCGTCCATTTTTAAGACTCGCTAGACCGGAATGAGGAAAACGACAGAGATTCGAAACAGAAAATGTGAAGTCGCCAATGAAAAAATGGAAATTAAAGGTGAAAAACAAGACTAAGGAACAGTATTAGCCAAAAGGGAAACAGGAAGCGTAAAGTAAGCGACGAAAAGTGAAAAATTGAGGTGTAAAAACAAAACTAGAAAAACCGCAGTGGCCAGAAGGGGCAAATTAGGGAAGGACGCCATGAAGACGTGGTGCGATGCTGTTAAGAAAGGAATCTACATTCATATGAATGAAATAAGATTCCAAGGCATTAAAAGGAGGTGATGCTAATCATGCACGAAACATGACAGACTTTCTCCACCTTCATATTTTTTTTATAGAAATATATTAAGTTCTTATATTATCAGTAATAACAAGGTTTGCTGTTAAATAATTAGTGGGAGATATATCTTGAAACTTATTTATGTTTATAATATTCAGGGATTTTATTTATTCAAACTTTTTACGAAATTTAAAAGGGTATCCATAAAAAAAAAATTACTTATTTCATAGTTATACTGGCTTACAAATCTTAATGATGTTTAAAACAACATATGTATAAACTAAATGATGCTAAAACTAAATAAATTTGTTAAAATATCTTACGTTTGCTAAAGTTATTTCGAAGTTCAAAGCTTGCAATAATTCGTTCTCAACAGTTTTTTCATTTGCTCCTAGTTTTTTGGCAGCTTTGACCATCAAATTGAAATAAGCTTGAGTGGCAGAGTCATTTAAACCTTTCATGTAATATTCTCGATTTGGCATTCCGAGGGATGTTTGATCCATCTGTAAGTAAAAGGAATATGCAATTGCTTATAATATGCAATAATATTATAAAGGGTCATTATATTATAAAGGGTTATAATATTTGGCAAATAATTACAATATATGAGGTAATAGTAATAATATAAGAGTTAACAATAATCTAAGAAATAGTAATATTTGTGGTAATATTAACAATATAGAGGGTAATAATAATATAAATGATTCTGTAAGTTAAAAAGGACGCTTGATTGCATATGCCTTTTTTTTTATCTACAATAAGAACATTTCTTCAAGTAATATTTATAAAATTTTACAAAAAAAAAAAAACAGTTCATGTTATTTATGGTATTCAGCAATGTGCTACCTAAGAAGAAATGGACGCTAACCATCTAAGACGTTGCCCTGCACTTCCTTCTGGGCCCTTGTGGGAACGATATTGGCGGGCGAGATGCATTATTACAGACAAATAGACTCTTTATTTTTGTAGCTCTTGCTTCCGTTTTTTGTTCTTTCTTTATATTGTTCTTGGCTACAAATTTGTCTTTCATGTCTGCCATTGGAAATAAAAAAATAAAAAAAACAATGTGCTACCTTTCGTTTCGCTACCTGGAAATTTTTCTAAATCAGCATATTTTGCAAAAATACTGCCTGGTTTGTAGAGTCGAATGAAAATTAAGTGGTCCAATTTGTAGTAAAATTTGTCCCTTTATCCATTTGATCGATCAAAGAATTGAGATCAAAGTTTCGAAAAACACAGGAAATATTAAAAATCGTTAATTTTTTTTTATAATACAGTTGAGTCAGTATTATTTACTTTCCTTACAGAAGAAAATTAATTTTCTCTGTTATTACATTCAGGAAACCCGAATTCCTCCGTAAGACTTAGAACTGAGTTTGCATTGCTGGGAAGGAGAGATTAAGTATAAACAAATTTTTGTGTTGACACTCAATCGGTTATTTAAACTAAAATAAAGTCTTTTGCTAAGTCATTGTCACACAGATGTGCAAATTTTGAAGAAAACCGCTTGTTTGATAATTGAATTAAACGACGCTCAAGACTATTTTTAAGAAAAAATGTTTAATGTATTAAAATTTTAATTTTTGACTTTTGTGCAAATTTATTTATCAAGACCTTACAACCTAATAACTATTAGTTTTAATTTATTTGGAAGGGGGGTTAGTAGAAAAACAGAACAGGAGAAACAATGTTTCATGTATTTAAACAAAATTGCCAGATGCAACCATAGATAAGAGTACAAATATTTCATCATTTATACATGAATTCTTTGTTACTCTGATAAATTGTAAACTATTCATTCTCTTGACTTAGTTTATATTTAATTTAATTAAGCTTAAAAAATGCTTAGATCCAATATTGTGCTTGCCTATACATCAATGTAAAATGCGTACATACGTATATTTCCAGAAGTCTGTACTTTTTGTACAGATAAAATTTAGAAAATTAGAAAAAAATAATGATCTATCGATTTTTTTGGTTACATTGGATTCAGAGTTGAAAAATACAAAAACAAAATTATACCTTTAGACAAAATACGAGCTTTAGATGCTTAGATAGGTATAAATAATAAACTGTACTTTTTATATTTATTACTTTTTAAATCAGTTATAACTTCTGAATTATTAGCTTGATTTACTTGATGTGATTGTCATTCGATTAAGCATAAAATAGGGGGAAAACATAGGCATTAATCTATCATTAATCCAAGATTAAGCTTCTTATCCGGGATTAATTTTCCCACTTTTGATCCCCTTCGACTATATTCAAAACTCACCCCTGGGGAGGAGCAAAGGAGAAGTTTTCATATTGGGCCTAAACCCCAATTTTCGGGATGAAGATTCTCCTGGACAAGACCAGAATATATGTTCCCTGCAGAAACTACCCGGGTTTCCTATTATCTCCGAGACACATTTTCAAGTTCCCAGCACCCACAGCACATGTCCTGAGATTGGAAATGGTTCCAACTGAGGACAACCAAAATTCTGTTCTGTATAGTCAAAAAGCACCGAATCTGACAGCCGCAATCGTGCTGATTTCCGCCGCTCTTTGAAAATCAATGGACACGAAAACAACAACAGCCCTAACTCTTAAAATAACACCCAGTTTTCTCCAAATTATTACCGAATTCAACAACATACGAAATGCTCCAAATTGGTTATAGGTTAAGAGAATTTAATCTTTACTTCTATGGTATGCACTGTGCTGTTTTTGAAGTCCGTGGAAACTGACGTAGTGATGAGAATGCTATGGTCATAACCAAGGTTTCGCATTTTAAAGAGAGTTTCCATCCAGTCAAAGGTAGATCCATCCCACGAGTCTCCTACCGCAGCAGGCCATCCACCCAGAGTTGTTAACACAGTTTGTAATGGTTGGCTGCCAGAATTTTCAATACCATCTGCAAAAAAAGTGGAAAATATTTCTATTTAGGAAATTTAATCAACAAAGCGGAGTATCAAATTAAAACAAACAATAATGAGCCTAGTGTTGTTATGCGTAAGAAGGGTAGTTGTCTTTAAATCTTGAGGACAGAACTTGAATTTCAGCGATTGTACTCAGAAAGTTTCGATTCTGAGGACAAAAAATTTGCCCAATTTTTAACATGCGTCCTCAAATGTTCCCGAATTTCATCGAAAACAATCTTTTTTTTTTATGTATATGCATTGAAATATTAAAATAATCAGAAATGCACGGGTTTTTTCTTGATTTAACAAGATAGTTTTGTCTTAGAACACAAGCAAAAGAGCATCACGCTCAAGCATTTAAAACTCCATCATACTCGTCTTGAAATAATTTCAGTGAAAAATAAACAAATTTTAATTATCTCGTACTCATTTATTTTAAGCGTGTTCGAATGCTGAGTATTATATGATATTTCAAACCTGCTCAGTATTGAAATCAAGTTTGATGAAGATGATTCTGCTCCTGATAGTTATCAATTTAAAAATAATCTTTGTTGCACACCTACATTAATATTTTTCATAAATATATAGGAGTAAAAAAGCAAAATTTAAGGACGCTCTGCTCATTTCTCCTCAAATCATTTATAAATCTGGTCGCATTTTTTCTAAGTCTTCCACAATTTGACTAAGAAATTCATAGGGGTGACAAAAAACCATCAAGAGGTTTTAAATTTACCAAAGAACAAGTAGTTTCAAACCTTGTTTAGAGGATGAAAATCGCAAAAAACGTACTTGTCAGAAACCAAATACTAAAAGAATACAATTTTCTAACAAAAAACTTGATATACTTGATTAATTATTACAAAGTTTGTTCGAATTAGAGCCCATGGACGTCATTGCACGTTTTACAACGACGTAAAAATGATTCTTATACTCACCTGAAGAGGGCAAGCGTGCTTTTGACGTTTTTCAAAACGACGACAATTTGTGTTATGAGACCTTCCGACAGTGTATTTTTTTTACCTTATCGTCGACTGTGTACTGACATCGATGTGTGCCTCTTTGAAAAATTTCACAATAATTAATTAAATAGATATTTTATAGTTAGCAACAGTGTACCTTTTGTAGTTATTTTCCAGCATAAAGTCTGATTGAGCTTTTCGCGATTTTCATACTTTTAATTTGGATGGCAACCTCATATTTTATATAGTTAGTTTTTCTCCTACTGATGCCATTTGCCATATCTCTCTAAATGTTTATATCAGTCGAATTTTGGAGCCCTCTTTATGTATTAAGAATAATTTGATATATTCGGTTAATTGTTCTTTTTTTTATTTTCACCAAAAATATGATCATTACTTCTAAGAGATATTATATATTTTCAATAAGTTCTAGCACTATAGTAGGTTTTGTGCTATGCGAATGAGGAGTTTTTAACTTCAAACTTATAACATTATTATCTATTTTAAGTTTAATAACTAATATTATAATTTAAACTTACTTACCAACTCGCTTCGGATAATTGTCTACTCACTAAATCTGTGGACAGTGCTCAAAATAAGATATCATTTTAAATGAGTTTTGTTCGAATAATTGGATAATCAAAACTAGGAAACGATGTTAATAATGAAAAAACGGTGACCGCTGTATGCTATTTAATCGCTGGTTTATTAATAAAGTTGCAGAAACAGACACAAAAACGTACTTACTCTGAATAAATTTTTTTTCAATGAACCTGAAGTTTCGATCATCAAATTATGCGGGAAGCCGCAAACCGTGAAAATATAGTCTAATTAATTTCGTCAAAGGAGCAGTCGAAAGTTTGGACTTTTTAAGGTTAATTTTATTTTCTGCGTATTTAGTCATGTCTCGGGAAGTTTAAAAGCGCATCTAGATATTTTTGCACGTAATTTGAAATTCTTGTATATAAAGATAATTCAAAAAAAAAAAAAATTCGTCTTCCCCGACTCAGTTTAAGTTTATTCGCATATTTAAATTCTAAAGTCGTTGGTATTTTTAATCTAACTAAATAACATTTACTTACTTAGGTTCATACAGGAATCGTAAAAATCTTTTACAATTTTTATATTTTTTGGTTCTGTCCCATCTAATGGTTTATCTACCAAACCTGAAACAATCAAATTGTATTAGAAATTAGTATTTGTAATAATTTTTTGCAAGATAATAGAAAGTGTTCTACAGGAACATAACCGATAAATTCAGTACATTTCGTAATTGAAACTGCAATATTTGTTATATACACCGAAGAGCCATTGCATTATGACCACCCTGCTAATAACATGTAGGACCACCTTTAGCCCTCAAAACTGCTAGCACCCGCTCACCAACTGGTCCTGCAATTCCCTCACATTGCGAGGAGGTAGCATGGCAGCATGAATTTGGTTTTCCAAGTAGGACCACAAATGCTCTATTGGATTTAGGTCGGGTGAATTTGGGGGTCAAGAGATGACTTGAAAGTCACTGGAATGTTCCTCGCGATTCGACCCTTATGACATGGTGCATTATCCTGTTGGTAAACACCATCCCCCGCAGGAAAAACTGTTGCCATGAATGGGTGAACCTGGTCTGCAACTATGTTCAAGTAGCTTNTCTCTTGACTTAGTTTATATTTAATTTAATTAAGCTTAAAAAATGCTTAGATCCAATATTGTGCTTGCCTATACATCAATGTAAAATGCGTACATACGTATATTTCCAGAAGTCTGTACTTTTTGTACAGATAAAATTTAGAAAATTAGAAAAAAATAATGATCTATCGATTTTTTTGGTTACATTGGATTCAGAGTTGAAAAATACAAAAACAAAATTATACCTTTAGACAAAATACGAGCTTTAGATGCTTAGATAGGTATAAATAATAAACTGTACTTTTTATATTTATTACTTTTTAAATCAGTTATAACTTCTGAATTATTAGCTTGATTTACTTGATGTGATTGTCATTCGATTAAGCATAAAATAGGGGGAAAACATAGGCATTAATCTATCATTAATCCAAGATTAAGCTTCTTATCCGGGATTAATTTTCCCACTTTTGATCCCCTTCGACTATATTCAAAACTCACCCCTGGGGAGGAGCAAAGGAGAAGTTTTCATATTGGGCCTAAACCCCAATTTTCGGGATGAAGATTCTCCTGGACAAGACCAGAATATATGTTCCCTGCAGAAACTACCCGGGTTTCCTATTATCTCCGAGACACATTTTCAAGTTCCCAGCACCCACAGCACATGTCCTGAGATTGGAAATGGTTCCAACTGAGGACAACCAAAATTCTGTTCTGTATAGTCAAAAAGCACCGAATCTGACAGCCGCAATCGTGCTGATTTCCGCCGCTCTTTGAAAATCAATGGACACGAAAACAACAACAGCCCTAACTCTTAAAATAACACCCAGTTTTCTCCAAATTATTACCGAATTCAACAACATACGAAATGCTCCAAATTGGTTATAGGTTAAGAGAATTTAATCTTTACTTCTATGGTGTGCACTGTGCTGTTTTTGAAGTCCGTGGAAACTGACGTAGTGATGAGAATGCTATGGTCATAACCAAGGTTTCGCATTTTAAAGAGAGTTTCCATCCAGTCAAAGGTAGATCCATCCCACGAGTCTCCTACCACAGCAGGCCATCCACCCAAAGTTGTCAACACAGTTTGTAATGGTTGGCTGCCAGAATTTTCAATACCATCTGTGAAAAAAGTGGAAAATATTTCTATTCATGAAATTTAATCAACAAAGAGGAGTATCAAATTAAAGCAAACAATAATAAGCCGAGAGTTGTTATGCTTAAGAAGGGAAGTCGTCTTTAAATCTTGAGGACAGAATTTGAATTTCAGTGATTGTACTCAGAAAGTTTCAATTCTGAGGACGGAGAATTTGCCAAATTTTTAACATGCGTCCTCAAATGTTCCCGAGTTTCTCCGAAAACATAATCTTTTTTCATGTATGCAATGAAATATCAAAAAAATCTGAAATGCGCAGGTTTTTTCTTGATTTAACAAGATAGTTTTGTCTTAGAACACAAGCAAAAAAGACATTACGCTTAAGGATTTAAATCTCCATCATACTACTTGAAATAATTTCAGTGAAAAATAATTTTTTTTTATTATCTCGTACTTATTTATTTTACGCGTCTTCAAATGCTGAGTTATTTCAAACCTGTTCAGTATTGAAATCAAGTTTGAAGATGATTCTGCACCTGATAGTTATCAATTTAAAAATAATATTTTTTGCACTCCTACGTTAATATTTTTCATAAATATATAGGGTAAAAAAGTAAAATTTGAGGACGCTCTGCTCATTTCTCCTCAAATCATCATTTATAAATCTGGTCATATTATTCATACAGAGTCTTCCACAAATTTCCTGAAAAATTCATAAGGGTTCATTCATAATTTTCATTCCTAAAAAATCCATAAAAAAATTCAAAAGAACCAAGAGGGATTAAATTTACCATGGAACAAGGAGTTTCAAACCTTGTTTAGAGAATGAAAATCGTGAAAAACCTACTTGTCGGAAACCAAATACAAAATGAATACAACTTTCTAACAAAAAAGCGATATACTTGATTAATTATTACAAAGTTTGTTAGAAGTAGAGCCCATTGACGTAATTGTATGTTTTACAACGACGTAAGAGCGATTCTTATACTCACTTGAAGAGGGCAGATGTGCTTTTGACGTTTGCCAAAACGACGACAATCTGTGTTATGAGACCTTCCGACATTGTGTTTTTTAGCTTATCGCAGACTACTGACATCGATGTGTGCCTCTTCGAAAAATTTCACAATAATTAAATAGATATTTTGTAGTTAGCAACAGTGTACCTTTTGTAGTTGTTTTCCAGCGTGAAGTCTGATTGAGCTTTCGCGATTTTCATACTTTTAATTTGGATGGCAGCTTCATATTTTATATAGTAAGTTCTTCTCCCACCGATGCCATTTGTCATATATCTCTAAATGTTTATATCAGTCGAATTTCGGAGTCCTCTTTATGAATTAGGAATGATTTGACATATACGGCTAGTTGTTTTTTTTTAATTCTAACCTTAAATACGCTTAATATTTCTACTAGACATAAGATATTTTCAACAAGTTCTAGCACTAAGTAGGTTTTGTGCTGTGCGAATGAGGAGTTTTTAACTTCAAGCTTATAACATTATTATCTATTTTAAGTTTGATAACTAATATTATAATTTAAACTTACTTAGCAACTCACATCGGATAATTGTCTACTCACTAAATCTGTGTACAGTGCTCAAAATAAGATATCACTTTAAATGACTTTTGTTCAAATAATTAGATAATCATGACTAGGAAACAATGTTAATAGTGAAAAAACGGTGACCACTATATGCTATTTAATAGCTGGTTCATTAATAAAGTTGCAGAAACAGTCACAAAATCGTACTTACTCTGAATAAACATAACTTTTTTTCAATGAACCTGAAGTTTTGATCATCAAAATATGCGGGAATCCGCCAACCGTGAATATATAGTCTAAATAATTTCCTCAAAGGAGCATTCGAAAGTTAGGGCTTTTCAATGCTAATTTTATTTTCTGCGTATTTAGCCATATCTTGGAAAGTTTAAAAGTGCAACTAGATATTTTTGCACGCAATTTTAAAATTCGTGTACATAAAGATAATTCTATATAAAAATTAGTTTTCCCCGACTCATTTTAAGTAAATTCATATATTTAAATTCTGAAGTCGTTGGTATTTTTAATTTAACTAAATAGCATTTACTTACCTAGGTTCATACAGGAATCGTAAAAATCTTTTACAATTTTTATATTTTTTGGTTCTGTTCCATCTAATGGTTTATTTACCAAACCTGAAACAATCACATTATATTAGCAATTACTATTTGTAATGATTTTTTGCAAGATAATAGAAAGTGTTTTACAGAACATAACCGATAAATTCAGTACATTTCGTAATAAAAACTGCAATATTTGTTATATACACCGAAGAGCCACTACATTATGACCACCTTGCTAATAACATGAAGGACCACCTTTAGCCCTCAAAACTGCTAGCACCCGCCGTGGCATTGATTCCACAAGGTGCTGATAGGTAGTCTGAGGTATCTGGAACCAAGCGCTCACCAACTGGTCCTGCAATTCCCTCACATTGCGAGGGGGTAGCGTGGCAGCACGAATTTGGTTTTCCAAGTAGGACCACAAATGCTCTATTGGATTAAGGTCAGGTGAATTTGGGGGCCAAGACATGACTTGAAAGTCACTGGAATGTTCCTCGACGATTCGACCCTTATGCCATGATGCATTATCCTGTTGGTAAACACCATCCCCCGCAGGAAAAACTGTTGACATGAATGGGTGAACCTGGTCTGCAACTATGTTCAAGTAGCTTACAGACGTCAGGGATTGTTCCATGAGAATTATGGGTCCTAATGTGCCCCATGAAAGCATTGTTCCTGGGCGAAAAACCATGAAAACCTGGGCGAGTCCATTGTTATAGATGGAGGGTGGTCATAATGTAATGGCTCTTCTGTGTGCATATAAAATTTTTTTTTATTTAAGTAGCATTATTATAAAATATTATTATAATAAATATCATTATAAAAATAAACAAAATCACTATATTTCGTTTAATTTTGAGGTAGGGAATATTACGAGAAGTATGGATAGCGCTGCAAGCTCTTGACTGCCTATACTTCCAAGTTGCTGCTTTTGGTGTGTTTTGAATTTGAATCTCAATCGCATTTGCACACGAATGTTTGAAGGTTGTAATCAACTTTGAAAATTAGCTTGTTATTAAGATTCCGATTCATAAAGTTTGTGCTGTCTACGGTACGAGCTTGTCGGATTAAAATTTAAATTTGATTCGCCGGAAATAAAAAGATTGGATTATTTGCTTGGAAGGCTTGACTTAAATACGTTGGAAGTAATCGGTTGAAAAAGTTAAAAATAAATATATTACAAGAAATGAAGAATATCTTAAAATATAGAGGCGTGTTATTGATAGATGAAAAGCGGAATATCTTCTAAGTGAAAGAGAATTAAAAATTAAATATGGTGGAACATTATTTTAATACCACAGTCACAAAAACTGTTTTACGATACTGAAAAAAATGCCAATTGAATTTTAAAAAGAGGCATTAATTTCACATTAAATATTGATTGAATCAAAATTAACTGTTGTTGAAATCAATTCTTCATTGTTTCAGTATTATATATATTGCAAAAAGAACATGTATCCTTTTTGTAGTAATTATGCATCACTTGTCCGATATTGTTTAGAATAAGATTTAGATAAATGTATTTTAAAAATACGTTTTAAAATCAACAAGTATAGTGTTCTGTGCAAAATTATTCTAAATCATTAAGCATTTTAATTGTTACACTGATACAAGTTGTATTTAACTAAACTAGAGTTTTAAAAGAAATTATAATAGAGAAGAATTTAAGGCTAAAATATTTTTTTTACAAAGAAATACATGTAATAAAAGAAAATAAATAATGTTATAAAATACAAGAAATAAAAGAAATACATAAAATTTCCCATCTAGTATTTAGTTAGAAAATTTTTCAACAGATGACGCTGCAAGTTAATTTTTACGTTTTTAACTTTGCATTTTTAAGCAAATTTTGTCCTCCCCGTACGGCATGTTATTTTGATAGGGAGTAGAATTTTTAAAAGTATTGTAACATGCGATTTTCCTTTTTTGCCAAATTTTAAGAAATTGTGATACGATTTTAAATTTTTTTCTTCGGCTTAAGGGTTTACTACTACACTATATCTAATCTAAAGGCTTTCATTTAAGGAAAAAAATTAGGTCCCCAGAATGCTTGTGCCCAGAATGCTGCCCGTTATAATTTTTTGGACGCAATCAGTCATACACGCAATCAGTCAGGACTTTTAGAACACCCTCATAATAAAACTGTATTAATTTTCAATTCATGTGATTTTTAAGAAGAAACGTTTATATTTCAAAATATATAATTTCAATATGATGAAACTATTACATGTTGTAAATGCGTATTACCCCAGAAACATTAAGACAAGCAAACAAACCTTTTAACTGGGCACTTAGTTCGTCGTCGACGTCGTAGAAGACACTTGATTCAGGTCTATCCTCTCGAATAGGGTGGGTTTTAATCCAGTTCCCGCATGCGAATTTGTAAAAGTTATCACAGGGATCAACACTTTCATCTAAGTTTTGCTTTATTTTTTCAGCTGAAATTAAATATTCACATTTCAATGAGCTATAATCTATTTAATGTAAATTCAGACATTATTATTCGACAAAACATTATTCAAACGTGAGTTTTAAAAAGCTTAAAAAGTGTTCTTTTGCTCTAAAATATTTAAAATAGTTCTATAAAATATTTTTCTTTATTTATTAAAATTAAAAGCTCGCCAACAAGCATACATGAATGGAAATGTTGCATATAGGTTTCTGAAATGTATTTCAGCTACAATTGAAAATTTACAATTAAGTGCTGTTCAGAATTTCAAACTTCGAGAGAATTTCATGTATGTATATATCTTTTCTCTTCATAAGAATTTTTTTTATTAATGTTGTGTAATTTGTGTGTATTAAAAATGACTGATTAAAACAGGGAAAGTTCATTTCCTACTCCTTTTCTATTCAAAACTCGTTTAAATATCGAAAATATACATATTGAGATCTAAAAATTATCATGTGTCACTTTTGAAATTACAACTGTATTTTTTTAAAAATTTTATTATGACTAGTTGAAGACCCTTTCCTCTAAAAAAATGAAAAAAAAGTTAACACGCTACCATTCACACAGTTGGGAAGCATAAACTGATTCATTTAAAAATATTATTTTTATTTATCAATTTTATCTAACCTTCTTCTCTGTGACCTCAAATTATTACACAAAGAAAGCGAACTTTAATAAGTTTAACTCATCATTAATAAAAAAAAGGAATGATTTATGACAGTTAAGCCATTTTTCCCTTGAATTGCAACTTTAGTATAATACTTAGTTTATTATTTTCAATCACCGTTGGTTCATATTAGTTAGGTTCATGGAAACACGTTGCAAACGCGTAGTTCTAATCAATATAAACACTAATCTCAGATAGTTTTTAAAATACTAATAGAGTGACACTATCTCTGCATGACATTGATATTGATTTTACTCGTGCTTACCTGACATAATGAATCAAAGACAAATAATAATTAAAAAAACATAACATCATAGATTCATCATAGACATCATTGAAAGTTCATAAACATAATAGATCTTTTTGCTTTTAACTAATGAGAAAAATTTTGTAGTTGGTATAAATTGCAACAGTGTGTAATAATGCCAGTTTAACTTATTTTACATTTTGAATGTAGTGTTGCTGCTGATAGTAATAGGACATTTGTTCTCAGGAATAAATATATCTGTTTGTTGTTCGTTTTGCATATATTTCTTACATAAAAGCATATATTTTATACTAATGGTCTGAAAAAAATTGTTTTAATTTTCAAAGAGACAATAATAGATATTGAAATGAATTAAGCATCAAATTGTCGCATGTAGTTTATATACTAATAATTTTAACTAGCATTATTAAACCAATAATTTTTAATAGCATTTAAATAAAGGGAAAATATCGTAATGAAAGTTTTTTATTCTAAATCTATAAAGGGAAAAAACTTCTGTGTTACTAGGAAAAAGATAAGAAATCATTTCAATTTGCTTTATAAAAAAAAATAGTTTCAACTTACATATGGGAATAAAATCATTTCATAAATTTACTTTTTTTAAACACAGAACCGATAATAAAGTTTTTTTTTTAAATTTTATTTTGAAAACAAAAATCAACACACGATTAATATAAAGGAGTCTAGCACAAACATTACCTGTTTCTATACATCCAGGGGTATTACAAACTTCTTCCGCATTTACTTGTCTTGCAAATCTTCTAGATTCCGAAGGAACAAAAGCAGACTTCTCTGCATCTAAAGCAAAATGTCTTATTTACTATTATTATTGATTGAAATGAATAAGCTTATTATCTTTATATCGCTATATAAAATTATATAATAACGTCAGGATTAACCATGCCAAGTATTCTAAATATTGATCCATTTTCCTTTAACCGTTTTGAGTTTTAGTAAATGAATAATTATGAACCTGACAAATAAGGTATTTCAGTCTCAGCGAAAAAGTTAATTAGTTAGAGTGACTTACTTTGCAATAAACAACAATATTCGATTCATAAGAAAATTAAAGATAAAATTAAATCAATTCTAAAATTGGTTACCTGTATGAGTTTGATAGTTCTAATCAAAGACAGCGAAAGTTACTGTCTTAATTAGCAGCATCAAAAGAGTTGTTATCGTAACAAGATACAGACTGAAATCTTATATGTATTGGAATATTATTGTGCGGCAACAAATTATAAAAAAGTTAATTAGTTATGCTGACTTTTGCGATAAACAACGATATTTGATTCATAAAAAAATTGACAAAAAATGGTATCAATTTTAAAATTGGCTACCTGTTTGATAGCTGTAACCAAAGACAGCGAATGTTGCTGCCATCATTAGCAGTATCAAAAGAGTTGTTATCGTAACAAAACATAGTATTCTCTCTAATCTAGTACGACGATTCCACCAGTGCGGATTCCTGTAAAACAAATAAATTAAGTTAGTGAAAAATTATAGATTAGACGATTAGTGTCAGATAGCAGATTAGACGCGAATTATTAGTCTTTTCACAAAAGTCTATTTGCTTAAGGTTTAATTTTCAATTTTTGAAAAGATTAATTAGATAAATTAGAATTTGTATTTTTATTTGTTTGTTTGCAGAAAGCCTGCAGGTATTTGTTAAAAAAGAGACTATTGAATATATAGTATTTTTTTTAACAAAAAACTTATTACAAATTTTTGCATTCGCAGATGCTGTGAACATAATGTCTTGAACAGAAAATTGTCTAATAAAAACATATGAACATTTAGAAAATAGGCAAGAACTGTGGGACTGTGGGACAATTTTTCTTTTAATTTCAAATAGGTTATGACTATTTTACGTTGAATGCATAATTTCCAATTAGAACCTTTCCAAACTACAGTAGACCATCACATCTTTAATCTTTCTGCGGTCCACATTAAGCCAACTAAAAATGCTGTGGGTCAAAATAAAGAAAGCAATACGTAACTTTAGCTTACTTAAAAAATAGTCAAGAACTTTATATGGAACGCTGCGTACTCAACAACAAAATAATAACAATATGATGGAATTTTATGTGAAAGGCTGCATTTTTTATTTTCGATGCAAGCATTCTGAATACCCCCAGATACTTATTGCCGGTTTTAAGAAAGTAATTGCTAAAGCAAGTTGGAAAAGACTCAATCAAATTAGGAAAAAAAAATACTTTTTTGTTGTTGATATATTTGAAAACTTCACACGTCCCACAAACAGGATTTGCTTATAATTTTATGAATGTGTTTTATTTTGTTAACTGTATAAAAATATTTCATTTTTCGTTGCAATTTAAATAGATCGCAAAGTTGTTTGTCTGTTCATAACTCAAAAATGAAAAGGATGCTTTTGCGCTTAATGTAAAGGATGCATAACTCGATAAGCTGTATATTTTAATAAATTCAGACTTACTTATCATCGAACTTGGATGAATAAAAATGCATTCTTGATTATATGCTCAGCATACTATGTTATATCTTGTTAGCTAAGCAGCGAACAGATAAATCTTAAGTGAAACTTCCTTTAAATGACATAGTGGCATAATGTGGCACGCATGTCAGAAGTTCCAATAAGATATTTATTTGTAAGAACTGAAAAAAAACATTTATCTGCCCATAATTGTTTCCTTGCATTGTTTCGAGAGATTTTGATAGAAAATGTATTTTTTATTTATCATGCATCAGCCAGGAAAGTTTCCTATGAATGTATTCAGTAAGTATGATATTCATTTCTACTTTGTTTCAATCGCTCCATAACTTGGCGCAGATGCCTATCTAGTACGATATAAAATATTTTGATATTTTCGCTTTGTTTTTGCCAATAACCAAATATATGATAAATATATAATTCCACTTACTACGATTGCTATTTTAAATTTAGGTATTTTTCTAAAAACTATTTCACAAATACTCTTACTTAAGTATCTTCAAAGAGCATTTTTTATCCTGAACCGTACAAAAAAAAAAAAAAAAAAAAAAAAAAAAAAAAAAAACAGAAGTCTTGAATTACTTTACTTATAATGTTCGGATTATCTCGAAATCAGGCTCAATCTGAATGATTCAAGAGTCTAATAATAAAAATGCTTAAGTTACAAAATCTTAGGTTACAAAATTCAGACACATAAGTGCACTTTATCTAAATAAACCTAATTTTTTCCGACAGATTTGCTTTCAACCTTCAAAATAAGGAACCTTCAACCTTCAAAATAAGGAATATAGCTGCTGTCTGTAAAATATGGTCTCAATAGTTTTGTCAGAACAATAGTCGAAAGTTTGGACCCCTTAATATAAATTTCACTTTTTGCGTATTTCGTTATACATCGATAACTTTTTAAGGGAATCGAAAAATGTTTACACAGAATTATAAAATTCGTTTTTCCAAAGGCAAATCCAAGAGGAACTGATTTTTAATAATTATTTAATGTGTTTTCCATTTTTATTTGAATAATAGCAAAAGAAAATATGAAAAATTTTACATAATTTTAAATGTCAAACATTAAGTTCGATAAGGTTCGGCCGAATTGGGACAAAATATAAAATTTACTTTTCAATTCATATGAAGCCTTCCTGTTCCACAAGCCGTATATTCTGCAGGTGTGGTCTATAATTTCATGAGTGTGCGTAATTTTCTTAATTGTATAAAAATATGTAATTTAGCATATTTAAAATTTAATAAAACCTCAAGCTCATTTTGTTCTTCAGGAATTAAAAATAAAGCGAATGCTTTTTGTTTAAGGTAAATGATGCATATTTCGACACACAATAAATTTTAAAAATATATATATATTAAAATTCAGACTTACATATCAAATTTAGATGAATAAAAATGCTTCCTTGACGATATACTAAACATGCTATGCAATATCTTGCTAGCAAAGCAAAGAAGAGATGCATTTTAAGTGGAATTTCGTTTAAATGTCACAGTAGGAACCACATGTGACATGTATGTCAGAAGTTTTCGCAAAGCATCTGTAAGGACTGACAAATTTAAATTGTTCACATTGTACTGTTTCGCATGATTTTGATAACAAATATGTTCTTTATATGTCATACATCAGCTAAAAAAGTTTTTTATGTATGAATTCAATGATTATGATATTGAAGTTTACATTGTTTCATTTATTCTACAACTTGACACAGAAGGGCATCTAGTGACATATAAAACATTTAGAAGATAACCTTCAAGCCTAATATACGTGTTCGTTTCATTTTTTTGGTCAAGGATAAAATACATGATCTCAGTTACCGCTGTTGCTAATTGAAACTTGTATTCTAACATGGAACTGAAATTAATTATTAATTTAATTAATTCTTAATTGAATTGAAATTTGTACTTAATTGAATTTAAATTAATTCTAAGTTGAATTAAAAATTAATTCCTAATTTAATAATCTTAATTTAATTCGTAATTTCACTTATTAAGATAGTATATAAAAAAAATATCAAATCTTTTTATATTAAAGAGTGTCATTGGAATAAAAAACTAGTTCCTAAATACTTTTATTGAAGTATTTTTTTAATAGCTTCAATAGCTTTTATATTTTTAAAGCGTGCAGGAAGCAAAAACAAATGGATTTTAAAATAACTAAATCCAATAATTTTAGAGCGTATCATCGGATTAAAAAAAATAGTTCTCAAATACTCCTACTTAAGTATTTTTAGAGAGTTTGCTTTATTTGAACAGTACTTAAAAATAAAATGCAAAATCCTGAATAACTTTTGCTTCAATGATTGAACTCGCACTCTATCTTAATAATTCCTGAGCCTGATCATAATAAATGCTAATTAATTATTGCAGACGATATTTTAAGTTACAAAATTCAGGTATAAAACTATATTTTCTTTAAATGTGCATACCTTTTTTTACGACAGATTTTTATTTTCGATCTTCAAAATATATGGAGTATAGCAGCACCTTGCAAAAAAAGGTTTCAAAAATTTCGAGAGAACAGCTATCTTGGTTTGGACTTTTTAATGAAAACCTTCTTTTTTACGTATTTCGTTAAATATCGAGAACTTTTTAAGGGAATCAAAAAGTTCCTTTTCACACAATTTTAAAATTGGTTTATCCTTATAAATCCAATTATCTTACCTTATTTATCTTTATAAATCCAAGAAAAGAACTATATAATGCGTTTTATTATTTTTTTTTGACTGAATAAAAAGTAAAAAAAAAATCTTATATTGTAAAATAGAAAAAATTTTTACATCATTTTAAAAAAAGTAATTTTATATGATAAAATCCAAAATTCGAATGAAATTGGTCAAATAGTTCTCGAGAAATTTTTAAAAATAAAGCTTTGAAAAAATTAAACAGAGAACATAGACTGATTTTTTTTAAATTTTGTATATTGCCATTTATATTTACGAACTTTAAAAGGATGCAAAAACTCGCATGCCTAGTAACCTGAAAATTTTTCATTACTTTTGAAATAGAGTAGCAATTAAATAATTATAAATAAAAATTCTTTTCCTTAACTAATTTTTGGATAATCAAATTTATAACTGCGAAAAAAAAATTCAATTCCTTTAATAAACTCTCGAGAAAAATAAATGCTCAAGAAGTAAAATTAACATTTAGTGGTCCAAACAATAGACTGCTCTTCCGACTAAATGATTGGGACCATGTTTTCTAGATTTCAGCCACATACCGCTACATATTTTGAGGGTCAAAAGTCCAAAACGTTCATAAAAAAAAAAAAAAAATAAAAAAATGTCATTTAATACAAAGGTGCAGGTGTAACATTTACACTAACTAAACTTGCCATTGGCAAAATTTTTTTGATGATTGGTGCAAATTTTCATGAATTTCTATGTAGACCATCTACAAGTTGCCGGATATATATTTTTTCTTTTAAATTTCTAGATGTTGTGGGTGGTCCTGCCTTTTCATCTTTCAGTACAAGAGCTCAAAATTCTGTGTATTGTAACAACTGCGTGAACTATGTTTTTTTTCTTCAAATTAGGCAATAAGTTTTAAATAAGTGCTCCATGGAAACATTAAATAACATACATAATTCTTGCTTGCGTAGGAAATATTCAAAGTTTTGTACTTGTGTGGCCAATGAAATAACGACATGCACAACTATATACAATGTTGCAACAGTACAAAGCGATTTTTTTTATTGAAATATTAATTACTTATACAGTAATAATATGAAGGCCCGTGGTGGCTCAGGGGATAAAACGTTTGCCTCCCTAAGAGACGACCCGTTTGAATCCCAGCGATGGCTAGTCGATACGAATTTTTCACTCGACTCGCACCCACCACAAAGCTGACGTAAAATATCCCCGCTGGTAGACTGATCATGGGCTAGAGTCCACTTGCTGTCGGGCTAGATATGTGAGGTTTTCCTCTCCATCAAACTTAAATGCGGGATAGTTCTATCTAAAAGACCTCAAAAAAGGTTAGATTCTCTTGATATTTGATACAGGAATTCCTTTGTCTCCTAGATTGGATTTAAAATTACATTATATTTCTAATACAATTTAAGAAATAAATACTAAAGTAATGAAAATCGAAGGAAAAAGTATAAGATATACAATTCTATGTTCCGACAGTGCCAAGCTGCAAATGTCACAGGTGGATGAATATTTGAATAAAATATTATAAGATGAAATAAATTAAAATATTACCTCATAAGAGAACTAAAAGTATCAGCACAGCAGAAGAAAAAAAAATCATTAACACGAAATAACTAGCTAAATAGCAAAGCACTACTGGAAGTAGCAACCTAACTATCAAAAAAGGAATATATTAAAAATAAATTAATTAAAAAGAAAATAAAGTGGCAGCACAGGCAGAGATGGTTGCATTGTCAGGGGGGAGGGGTATTACCATGAAGCCAGTGCGGGAGCTGTTTCAATGATTGTCGGTATATTACAGCAAACAGTCATACCCCCTACAGCCCCAAGAAAAAACAAAGTAAACCAACAGCAAATTGGATGCTGGATATGTGGGCAATTTCGGTATTTAGTGCGAAGCGATGCCAACCGATATGTTTACACTGTGTTAACATGAACTATTAAGTCATGTAGAGTAAAAATCTTAAGCTCGATCCAACAGCAAATCAGATGAAGACAAGACTAAATACCGAAATATTGAGAATCGAAGTTGAAGTGCATAAAATCTCCAGATGGGAAACTGAATTTAGAAAATTGAAGACTCGAGTACCAAACAAGTATATGGATCCGAGAATGTGTAAAAAGATGAAGAAATAATCATAAATAAAAATAAAACATATGAATGGAAATAAAAAATAAGCTTTCTTAACATTAAATTTAATTAATTAACCTTAATAAAACGATTGGAAATATAGGCAAGCAACCGATTATGTTTCAAGGTAATCCAACCGATCCTTCAATGTTTGTGTGGGCTTTCGATAGCAGTGGTTACCAACTGACCGCCCGCGAAGCCCTTCTTTGTGGCCCACGAACTTTAAAATACTTTTCTTTCGTTAAAAAAACCTAATTTCTTCGTTGCTCATTAATTTGTCTTATTCATAGGTGCACATTAAAGTTATTGACAGAATTATAAGCCAGAATTTTTTAATATGCAATTAAATACTTTTAAAAATCTACTTTTTACTTTAATTCGCAATTGAATACTTTTGTTTTGTACAACTTGATAAAAATCTGACAGTAATATTCAATGTTCCTTCAAACATAAAAGAGTCCTATATAAAATTTTTATGAAGTTGTGGCCCGCCATTCGAATGGTGTTTTTAATTGCGGCCCCCTCACTCCTGTAAGTTGGAAACCCCTGTTCTATAGCAGTGGTGCGCAAACATTTTTCGACTGCGACCCCTTTTGTAGAGAGAAAATTTTTGGCGACCCCTAGAGATAAATGTTCACAAATACGATGTATATTTCGAGCATTTCTTTCGTTTCATCGAATAAAAACATCATCATATTTGACTCATATTAATTTTATTTATAATTTTAAGAAAATACTTTTTGTATAACACAAAAATCAGTAAATTGCCCTTTAATGAGATGTATGTGGCTGCAAGTTTCTAATTATCTCATCGATGTTTGGATGTATGTTGCTAATTGCAATTCGCATACCATCTTCAGGGTTTAAACGCGAGCGGTATTTAGTTTTTATTGAAACTAGTTTGCTAAATCCAGTTTCACATAAATACATTGATGCAAATTGTATTAACACTCTGATGGCATTCTTGCATAAAACGGGATATTGTTTTTCCACGGATAGCCAGATAGAGAATACATTACGCATTACGGTCAAAGAAAGAGTGGACAGCATGAAATTGCAATTAAACAGTGAGTGACGGCGCTTCACTCTTTATATGTACACTGTATAGTATGCAGCATGCAGGGATAATGCATTTCATAAAAATTTGGCGACCCCCAAAGAGCTTCTGGCGACCCCTACAGGGGTCGCGACCCCTAGTTTGCGCACCACTGTTCTATAGCATAAAATATTTATTTCTCCACGGAAAGCATTCCTCTATTAAATCCGGTACCTGTCTATAAATTCCATCTTGATAATATTATCCAGGAGAAACTTACGTGTATTTTTACAGTTTTTTTAAGATAAGTATTATAGCTGTCACAAATTAACTTAATATGATTAATTTGTGATATAATAACATTTCGATAGATACTATAGATATATTAGAATTCCAAAAAATTAACTTGTTGACAGGAAATGAAATATAATTTCTTTCATCAAAATCATCAATTTGAGCGTTAGATGAGTCTAATGTAACGAATAAATCAAGAAAAATTTTATATAAATATGATTGAATAGTTTAAACCATAGGTTGCATAATTGCATAAATGCTACTGCATAAATTGTGTTTGCAATATTAATAAAATCAATCTATATAATTAAAAATGACAAAGTCATCAATAAATCGGAAGCCATTTCTGATGGAAATCACAGCATTTTTTTCATAGAAGTGTTAAAAAAGGTTAGCAAGAATTCTTGAAAAATTGGTACCTTGTGGTATGCCAATAAATATTAAAAATACAAAATTATTAAAATTAAAAATTATTAAAAATAAAAATTATTAGAAATAAAATTATTAAAAATACAAATTATTAAAAATAAAATTATTAAAAATACAAAAATTAGCAATATTTTGCTAGTACTCGAAATCGTTATCTAGAATATTATTGACATAATAAAAGTAAGAAAGCAAAAGATTCAAAATGTGGAATAGAATGATTGTTGATAAAGTTTATTAGTGGTTTATTGTTTTAATAATCCATGCAAATCCTGAAAACATATACCGCATTAAACAGAGTGTTTAAGTATTTCGTGAAGAGGTATTCCTCGTGTATTCATATAGGTATTAGTGCCACAAGTGATAAATAGGTAATATAATAAGAATTTAATAGGTGTTTTATTAAATATAGGTGTGATCGTAATCTAAGGTAGTTTAAAGTTGTTATTTTTAATCCAGCAAACTTTATTCAAAGCAAGAAATTTTTTGTGTTGAAAATCTTAAATATGAGGAAAAAAATATTTTTTTCAAAATATCTAATAATTTAAAATCTCTACTTTTGGAATTTAGAATAATAATGTAAACAGATTATAAGAGTTTGCTAATTAAACATTTCGATAATGTTTCATAAATTTATACTTTACAGTAACAGATACAGATGGCAGCACGAGGAAGCAAATATTAAATTTTCCCCTTTTATTTTACTTCATTATTTTATTAACAAAAGACACTACAAAAAATTTTTCATTTACAAATCTTTCAAATATTTATTATAATATGAGTTAATAAATAGATTAATCTCAATAGAAATAGAAATTAATCAATTGAGATTTCACTTCAATATATTAATTAAATTTGCTTATAAATTTCAATTATTTTCTAACTGTAAAAGTATTTTAATTTATTATTTTTTTACTCAGTTTGTATTGCAATTTTATAGTCACTCTGAATTGAAATTTGTGAATATAAAAAATGGATTTATAACTAGCACTTTCTGTAATGATGCAATTGTTTTTCTGGACATCATAAATGATAGCTAACATAAATCATTTTAGGCTAAATTAAAAATTGTGAAAGTTATTACTTGAAAGACAAGCTCTTTAACATAAAACGGGAGAAAGTTATAGCTAAAGTAATAATTGTTTTAATTATAATATTTAAAATTAGTAAATTCATTGAGCTAATTTTGAATCAAATTTAAATTTAAATTTTTTAACATTTTTTTTCAGAAAACGTTTACTTAGATAAAAAAAGAAAGGCATGCAAAAGCAGAGAAAAATGAAGGGAGTAAGTTTATCAATAGGTATAAAAGCATGGTAAAGCCAAAATCCTTTTATTTTAATTAAGAAAAAGACCAAAAAATACGCGTTTAAAAAGTAAACCAGCATTTATTATCACTACTTTTTCGTTTTTGATTTCGTAACTTGAAATATCATCTGCACTAATCAATTAGCTTATTTAGAGACCACCCATGTGAATGATTAAGATTGAGTTTTGAAAAATTCAGTCATCAGATCAAAAAAATGTATTTGCTCCGGGTTTTTTTTTCTAAATATATAATAGCAAACCTAACAATGTCATCAACAATATTTTTCTTTAGATGATTTTAAATTCTTTTTATTTCTTTTCTTTTCTTTAGGATTTAGAAGAATTTGTTACGTTTTTAACAAATGGTTTTCAACAAAGGATTAAAGTGCTAATTGTAAAAATTTTATTTTTTTATATCAAAAGCAACTTCGTTTTAATATAAAAAGTTTCAAAACAATATAAAAAGTTTCCTATGATATTTAATGAAAAATAATCGTTTATTAATGATATTAAAAGCATCTTATTGTTAATACCTAACTATCATTTTCTTGACTTGTGAAACTGATTTTTGAAAGATTGACACAGAATAATAACAATTCAAATAATTCGAACGCCGATCCGCCGATTTTCAAAAACATGTCCTTGCGGCTCATGGATGAAGCCAGCAGCACTGATTTACCCTCAATAATGCTGTCATCAAACCAATATGACAAACTTTGTGAAACATTTCAGGCTAGATTGGATGAACTACTTTCCAAAGAAATGACCGAACTTTATGCCCAGTTTTCACACCTTTTTACGTCTTTTAAGAAGACATTTATGTTCGGCTTAAAGCTATCCAATAAGTTATTCGAAATCGAAAGTCAAAATCGAACCCTTGAGCGAAACAACAATGATCTGGAAAAAGTAATTGATGAGCGGGATGAAAAGATCAAGCAGTTAGAAGATAGTATTCTAAAAGTAGATAGCATGAGATTTGGAATGGAATTACAGGAAAAAAAGTTCCATAAAGTAATAGAGGAACTAAAAGAAGAAGCTGTTAAAGAGAAGATGGTAAGTACCAAATAAATCACTGTAAATTACGACTTTAGTCAAAGTGAATTACTCGCGCAGTTCCATTCAATCTGAAATCGACAGACACAAATATTTATTTAGTTCAATGGTTTCTAAGTGTAGGGAATAAGAATCGACGCACAACTCGCGCAATTGCAATCATGTGTTCTAAAGTGAGCCAAAATTAAATTTCACATTATAAAAATATTTTTTTCAATAATGCATTATCCAAATTATACTGACTTAATGAATCGTATTTTATATAAAAAAAAAGTTAGAAATTAGTATTGGAAGTTAGAAAACGATTACAGAAATCCTTCTTTTGAAGATCGTTTGCTTTGTTTTGATCGTTTTCAAACTATTTATTTATTTAGTTTTAGTTTATTAAACTATGAGTAAGTCAAAGAAAATTACTCGGACAATTACATTCATTCTATATTCGACTAACAGAAACATTTGTTTTCTACGGTTGTCTAGAAATGTTAAGGTATAATTAAAAATATGTTTATAGATAAGAAATTTACAATGACATGATCTAAAATATGTTAAGTTTAAATTTCAACTTAAATTTTTTTTAAAACCATTGTTCATGATATGCCACTCCAATAATAGCTTAGTGTATTATATTTTAGAAAAAAAAATTCTAAATGATTGCGTAAAAATTCTTTATTTGCCCAATCATTTGCCTAAAAAATCATCGATCTTTCCCTCTCATTTTCTATTAGTGTTTTTGAGTTTCTTATATATAACAAATTAAATACGCACTGGACTTTCAGAATGAGAAAATCATTCAAAAATCTATTATTTGCTTCTTTGAAGTATTAAAAAAAATTCTCACTTAATTAAGTAACATGCAATAAACAGTGTTTAAATTGGAGTTTTTCTTTACCGAGTTATAAGATTACAAATTCGAAAAAGCCCATACATCAATACGTAGTTCTCGTTAATAAACTTGCTTTTTCTCATAATGGAATTTTCCAATGCTTTCTCAACTTTAAAAGGTTCCTTGCGCCCCAGTTTTTGTCTCATTGTCAGTTATAAGAAAGTCGTCAGATATTTTTAGAAGTGTCTTGTTTAATTTTAAATGCATTTAGTTAATTAAATAGAGTAATTAAAATTTTTAATTAATGAACAAACATAATTGAAGAGTGCTTTTCGAAGAAATTTTTGGAGACAAAACAATAATGTAATTCTTAGGTACGTAATATTTTTATACGGTTACCAAAAGCACTTAAATTTGTTTAAATACCGATAAACAACGTATTTGAATAAAAAATTTTATTGAAAAAATTAAAATTCATTCGCAAGGAACTTTTTGATTATCAATAACTAAACGCCAAGTTTTTCGCTATAATTTAAAACCTAATTGTTATTTTTTCCTAAAACATTGCCCACTGACCAATTGCACAGTAATGTTACCAAAATTCTGTTGAAATTTGAAAATGATAGAAAGAAAATTGTATATTAAATAATTCATATCTTGTATAACTCATTTTGTATTAAAACTTTATTTACATATCGTCAAGATATTTTCCCTAAGTGTATAATAACTAGAACGATATATATATATGTGCATATATATTACAACTTGCATAATTTATGATGATTTCTTGGAAAATTAATTTTATTGCTATGGTAGCAAGTTATGGTTTAATGAATTTATAAAACTAAATTTTAAATTTTATAAAATGTAAGCTCTTATTTATCCAAAAAAACTTAATAGATTTTAGAAAGTTTTAATTTAATAAATTCCATTAAGTTAGAATGTAATACTTTATTATCCTTGTGCTTAGCTGGAAATATAATTATAACTAAATATACTTAACTATTCCACACAGTGTTTGCGAAAAATTGCATATAGTAATGGGTCTTTTTCTATTACTTTGCAAGAATAATACCAATATTTTCCTTTCAATTTATCCTGCTTGAAAACTTCTGTATAATTAGATCATTAATGATGCAAGGTGTTTCGGAAAAAAGAGCCTTATTGTTCGAAAGGGATAAGGGTACTCTTGATGTGGTTAAGTTAAAATTACGTTGTTATAAGTTAATAGGGCTCTTACGCAAACTATAGTTTAGGAAATAGTTTGCGGAAGCAATATCCTCGAAAGATTTCTTTTATTTCATCTGTTTTGACTGTATTGTTTAGATAAAGTGCAAAATGCTTCATTTACTGTCTTTATTTTTTATTCAATTTTAAATCATTCGTATTTAGTAAAATCTATGCATATATTATATTATTGGCAGAAAAGCAAACACGCGCCTTAAAAATTTTCGTTTTTTAAAAATATATTGTATTTTGCCATGTAAAATTACACACTTTAAAATGTTGTAAAAAATTGTTTACCTTACAATTCAATTTTTTTTTACTATTATTAAATAAAATAATAAAAGAAAAATATTTATAAATTTTTTTATAGAACTGTCTTTGGACAAATGAATTTTATAATTGTGTGTAAAAAAATTTAAATTCGCTTAAAAAGTTCTCGAGATTTAGCGAAATACACAAAAATAAATCACTCTCCTGATCAAACTCTGGGGACCATATTTCCCAGATTGCGGCTGCACCGTATATTTTGAAGGATAGAAATCCAAATCCGTGGAAAAAAGGTATGTTTATTCAGAGAAAGTACGTTTTGGTGACTAATAGCAAATTTGAGGTGACCCCACTGAACCATGGAGTTTGAGTCCTAGAACGTGAAGATCCGATCATTAGATCAAAAATTATTCACAGTGGTCTGTTTCATTTATTTTTTGCTTTTTTATTTATTATTTTTCTGGCACACGGTACACATGAAATATTTTCCTAAAAGATAAAAATTTGGTTAGGGATTGTTTACAATTGACGTCAACCCTCTGAAGAGAAGATAGGGTTTTTGAGATTTGAACAATTTGTAACAGTGGAGATGTAACAACAATAAGATTGACATCAAACATTTTTATTAAAGTAGAAATAATTTTTATTTTTATTAAAGTAAAAATAAAAACAATTAGCAAATTAAAATTTTATATTGTTTCCCTATTTTAAATATTTTTTCTCATTTTCATTATAATAAGTACGCATACAATCGTTATTATTTATACACAAATGACATTAAAACACATTGCTGCAAGCATGTGTCTTTGTAATATAGCATGACAAGTGAGATAAAGGGGTAGGGGCATTGTGAAGTGTGACACTTTCTGAGAAGGAAGAGAAAATGGTCAAAAATATTGATTAAAGCCGCCTGACTAACCGATTGACCGCTTCTTATCTTTAATTTCGCAGAAATGTTTTAGATTTAGAAATCGAAGTTATTTTGAAAGGTAGTGATTCAAGCTTTTAGAACATTAGTATTACTTTTTTAATTAAGAACTCATACAGCCTATTAATCAATGCTTATCAACAACATAGCTTTAAAAAGTACAATAAAAAATACAATACAAAATACATGTAAATTGAGCATAAACTTTACTGTCGGTTATATTTAAGATAAACTACTCATCGAAAACTCATCTGATATGATCAGGTTTCTTCTATACTTTTTATGTGAGCAGCTTTTTTTTTCATGATTTCTTACAACATTTTTTATTTGGAGAATAATTTGTAGATAAAATGATTAGTTAGCAAGTAATTCAGCAATGATTGTTTACAAATCATTCAATAACTGAGACTTACCTGATAATGATTTATATTATGGTGATTTCATACGATAATAGAGAGTTTTTGCACAGCTTTTGTCTCACGTTTATCGTAACGCTAACCTTATTTTCTGCACTTTCGCAACACTGTGATATGTAGAGAAATTTTTTGGCATGCGCTAAGAAGTTTTAATAGTGTTAACGTCAGAGTGAAGGTGGAAACGTAACGTTATGAAAATATTTATACTATTTAAGTAATAAGCTTACGTTTACATCCCAGAGACGGGCAATTTGTATTAATTTTTATCATTTATTCCACAATATACAAAGCGTTATTCCTCAATGGCCAGTAACGCACGTTAGTCATTAAGAAATTATTTTATTTAGCAACAATTTTTAAATAAATTGTCGCAGAATATAATTTTTACTGATTTTGTTCAGGCGTACGAAGAACTTTTGAAATCTCAATCAGAGGGAGGTGCACGACAGAAACTAGAAGAAGCAAATACAAAAATCGAACTCTTAAATCAAGAATTACTCTTCGAAAGAAAAAGAGAGGAGATTTTACAAAAGCGGTCTGATGAGGAAGACAAAGTTGGAAAAGAACTTAAACAAGAAATTATAAATCTCCAGAAAAAATTGAAAGACGAAAGCCGCGAAAGAATAAATGCTGAATCCAACATCTACAAGAAAGATCGAGAGATTGAAAAGCACTTGAAAATGGCTGAGTCTTATAAGGGGGAAATTGAAAAAATTCAATTTGAAAATGAGGGCTTTAAATCACATAATGAGAGGTAAATTAAGACTTATTAAAGTCTTTTTTTAAAAAGTGAATTTTGCTTTGCATGCTAATTTTAGTGAAATTTATGTCTTAGAAATTGCTGCAAATCGAAAAACGATGTAAGGTTTTGTTCTTTTTAGAATATTTAATATTTAAAACACAGGATGTTTCATGTTAAGGTTCTTTATTAGTTTTAAATTTTTGAATGTTTTAGGTTTTTAGGGAGTCTTATTCAGTCGTTTAAAGTATTTGATACAAATATATTTCAGAGTCATAATTTCGATTTATTGAAACTCTAGTTCGTGATTAAAATATAAAAGCAGCCATATTTATGCTAAAATATAAAAATAAATGGATTAAATTCAATTAATTTTCTGGCTTTATATGCTTAACTGTAGAAAATAATTGATAGTTAGAAAATTGATTTCATCTAAGGCAAGCTTTGTAAAAGTAATATTAAGCTAAATTTGGTTATTGGTATTAGTTAATTATAGTTTGTTCTTTAATTGTGTTGCGATTATGTGTAAATATAATAATTGAAGTAATAAAACCAATTTATATACGTAAAGCTTATAAACTTTAAGTGTCAACCTCAGATTAAATGTACAATGCGCAAAAAATAAAGGGACCACTCTGAATAAATTTTGATATAATAAGAAATTTTGCACATAATAATAAAATTAGTTTATCCAAAGATAATTCCATGTAAAATATAACCCTTAAAAATATTTATTATTTAATTTAATAAGATACAAAAACATTTTGAATCGTAAGGTATACACATTTTTATGTCATTTTAAAGAATGTAATTTTAAATGGCAAAATTCAATATTTTAGAGAAATCGGTCATATAGTTCCTGAGAAATCGAATTTTGTAAAAGTCGTATATTTAAAAATTTTCAATTCGCTTAAAAAGTTCTCGAGATATGGTGAAATACACAAAAAGTAAAATTAACATTAAGGGTTCCCAAATTTTGAACCACTCTTCTGACCAAATTATTGGGACAATATTTCCCAAATTGGGGTTGTCCCTTATATTTTGAAGGCCAAAACTACAAATCCGTCGAAAAGTACGTTATACGTTTTTGCGACTGATTTCGTAACTGAAAATATCGTAAGCACTAATTAATTAGCAAATTAAGGTCACCCCCTTGAACTTTTAAGATTAAGTTCAAGAACGTAAAGATCCGATCATTAAATCAAAAGTTATGTAGAGTAGTCCGTTTATTTTCATGTCATGAATTTTAGCAAGTCACGTAAAAATTCTCTTTGTCATTCCCTTTATTGCACAAACTTAAACAGGATTGTACATGATGTGCTCCCGTGGCGTAGTCATTTAAACATCGCCCATACTGTTGGGGAAGAGCTATGGGTAGTGAGTTTGATCCTGTGAGCTGATAAAACAAACGGCGTGTTTTCACAGCTAGGTGCACGTTAAATCTATCGTGGCTGAAAGTTCCCTCATTGGTTGTTATGGGAAAGTTTGGTGAGGGGGATACCAGCTCAGGCACTGTTTTCGTCGTCTGACCAGAATAAAAATTACGTGATATTCCTACTACGGCCATTCAAGGATAGTGCTCAGAAAATGAGGCTAAGCGCTGAGCTATGATTGGGGGGAGGTAATGATGATGTACGTAAATGATATAAAACGTATCAACTATTAATCAAAGTCACAAACACTATACGTTCAACACCATCATTACGCACTTGTGGATAAAATAATTTTAATTACGTAAAGCTTCTTTAAACTTACGCCAGTTAATCAGTCTTTATTACTAATAAGGTCATTACTTTTGTCAATTTTCTCTAAATCTAATATGGCAGCCACTTTAATTGATAGTTTATATTTAATTTTTAGTGTGTGAGATAATTTTTAGTTTCAATTCATTTTACAAGGAACATGAACCATTCTTTTTTTTCTTTTAGTCTTTCCGAAGAACTTAGAAGAATCCAGAAAAGTCTTCAAGAAAAAAATAAAACAATAGAACAGCTGAGTAAGAATTTGGGTTCTCAGAAATTTCATTCTCTTATATTCAAGCGAATAAAACAAAACTTGGAACAAGATGCTCAAGAGAAAAAGGAGCAAATATTATCTCTTAAGGTATTTCAAAAGTTATGAAACGTTATTAGATTCTTTTAACGCTCAGGGTGAAAGAAAATGCGGGCAAAATTATTGTACTGTATAGTAATGGCATTCCTGGTAAAAAGAACCTTAATTATGTTTAATAAAAACTATATATAAGATATTTAATTCATTTAGTAATTTTTCTTTTATGTGGTAGCCATTTACCGGAAATTGTTTTCAAAATTATAGTTCTTATTACCACACATTTAGTAAAAAATACAAAACTGAAAAGTAAGTTTGACCGAATAAATGGTTTTTATACCATTCACTTAGTTGCATGATAAAATTACAAATTTAAATTTTATCACATATTATAAAACCATATTTTATTACTAATTTTGTGGAAATTATTACCAAAGCACTTCGGTAAAAATAATCGAGCTTTCAGTGTTTCCATAAAACCAGAAAGACAGTTACCATATTCTATTAGTTTGGACCATACTTTTTTTCTCTGTGCAATTTGTGTATTCAAAATACGTGCCTTCAAATAATAGGTTATTTACTTAATTTTTGTTACCTTTTGTTACCTTTTGTTACTTATTTTGTTACCTATGCTTTTGCTAAAATGTTCTTTTCTCTATAGTCTATATAGGATGTGTATTCTATTTTCGTATACGAGGATACTCCAGGCTTATAAGATCCGAAGAACAAAACAAAAAAATGTTGTTGAAAGACTAAAGTTGGAAATCACGTGCTTTAAAAATGATCAACAATGCTCAAAATATTGTCCACCAAAATGACGTTTCATTTCTAATAATGTTTCATTATTAGATATTAGCTCCGTTTCATTGCACAATTGGCATAAAAATGCTGTGTGGAATTTTGGACACCCATTATATACTAACAAACTTATCAATTCAACAGTTTCACTACAATCTTTCCAAAGTCAAATTACATGCTATTATCAGCAACAAAAGTAGTCTAGTTTCTGCGATATTGCTATATCTCCTAGATTTTCACGCTACTATCTGCTTCATAACGCCAGCAAGCATCAAATGCTATATAGCTAGCTTACAAAGCAATAGCATGATGAGTTATATGAAAGCATTTAATGCTTATTTGCTGCTGTTTAAGCTTCTTCCAAAGCATAGAGAGGTAGACACATAGGTTTCAAACGATTTTGTTTAAGTAAAACGAAACTTTCGTTAAAAAAATCGCTCGAAATTCATTTTTTTTTTGCCTCTGAAACTTTGATAGCTCTTAATTTATTTACTCATTACAGTTTGAACAGGAAAAGAACTCTAAAATGAAGCAAAATTTAAATCAGAAAATCAAATTTTTGGAACAAAGGAATGAGGAACTCCGGAATTCGATACAACGTATCAGACAACAATATGATGCGAAAAATACGAAGAAAGAATTCATCGTGTCTCAAAGTAACATGGAAGACGAAGATGAAAAAGTAATTGCTCTTCGTAAAGAAATTCTTCATCTAAAAGAAGATCTTTCTAAAGCTCAAGAAGTAAGTAAATGAGACAACAAATGTTAGCACTCTCAATGTGGTATTCTACTTCATCTATGTTAACCTACTGAGAATTATGTGAACCCAATTATCTTATTTATTAAATAACTAATTATTGCTTTGGGATATTGGAATTTTATATTTCATTTTGTTCACTAAAATTTGCTCTTTTGAAGCTAGTAACAAAATTTTAAATTTCATGGTTGTAAGAATTCTTAAGAACCGTTTTCAAAGTTTAAAGTTTTTTTAATTTCAAGTTTTAAGAATACTTACAATTTTAAAATTTAATAAGTATGTTTTATATAATGAATTATATGATAAAAATGAAACAAAAAGCATTCCAAAATAATAATTAATGACTTAATAAATCACAATATGCATTTATGTAATATTCTATAGATTAATGTAAAGAAACAATTCCTTTTATGTTCAAAGAGGACATTAAGGGTGTCCAGAACTCATTTTACAAACTTTTAAACGTTTAAAAAATTCAAAAAAGCCACACAACATTACTGTGTCTTTTTTTTTAAATTATTAAAATATAAAAGAAAACCTAAAATTTAATATAAAGAAATATTTTTAATTTTCGGTATTTTATAATGTTACATTCAAAGCTCTTTTTTATTTTCATAAAATTGTTTACACTTTAGTTTTTCAGTAATTAGTATGTAAGGTTTACTGTTTAAAAAATTTATAAAGAAAATTAAACCTAAAATATATCATTCTTCTTTTTTGGTATTATTTTAAAGAAAACTATAAAATAAAATTATATCAATATTTTACTGATTTCTTGAAAATGAATTAAAGCTAAATGACAAAAACATATATTTCTCAAATTTCATGTAGTTATTTGAAGTAGGCTTTGAGATACACTATTTTAAAAATGGAAAAATCTACAATTTTGTCACTGGAGAAAAACGAGTTATACCTTCAAAATTTTTGAAAAAATTTTTTGAATGATAACTTCTGGAAAATTATTAAGTCAGCTGCGTAAATTAACATAATGTGAAAACTTGTTTATAGCAAAACTAAAAACTTCCTTTAAGCATTAAGGTACCCGAATCCTTAAGGTACCTTTTAGTCACTTTTGACAAAAATATCATTTTTCTATTTTTTATTTATTTAAAATAAAACATTTCAAAACTGTTAGAATTTAGTTTCTACGTTGAATAGAACAGAAGTTATAATGATTAAAAAAAACATCTATTTTGTTTGGGGCTTAGAATTTAGTTTGGAGTTTAAAACTCTATTTTTTTTTAAAATGAAAAGTATACTTATTCGGAAAAATGGCCACTTCGTAAGCAAAAACACATGATGTGGCTTGATCTTAACAAGATAATAAGTATTTTCCAATAATTAAATAAATATTAAAAATCAAATAATCAATAATTATAACAAAAGTTGAGCTTTTTTCCTTTTTCTCATTTGGTTATTTTGATAGGATTTCTGGACATGAGTATATCCCGAATGTACATTCAAAATGAAAGCTATACTTATTAAATGGGATATATTATGAGAAATTGAATATGCAGCCTTTTAACTAATAACATTTTATTGTTACCTAAGTCGCATATGAGTTAGGAGCTCGTAATCAATAACTTACGAGCACATACATGGTAATTTAAATATTCACTTAGTTTATTCCTCAGATAGAATTATAATTTTAAAAAAAATTTAAGATTAGACCATTGGATAAAGAGTAATTAGTAATGATCCTTTTTATAGGATATATACAAACTTGTACTAGAATACAAATTCTGTTTAACATTTTTGGAATAAGAAATATCAGTAACTAAACTACCTATGTTATTCTTAAAAATAATATGATGATTGATAAACTGAAATGAAAGTTTTATGATAACAAACGTACTGCGTATAATCAGTTAACTGCGTATAATCAATTATAAGTGCAATTATAAGTTTTTTCTTTGCACTAAACTGAAAACAAATATGCGTAATTCTACAATATAAATAATCAAAATAAGAGGGAGAAAAGAGTGAGAAAACAGACAAAATAAAAGGATGAAAGGTTACTTCGAAGTCATGAAACGTATATTTTTGTAAAACCTGCTGAAACAAAGACCTATGAAGTTTATAAAATTTCTTTGAAGGAATTGAGATTTTATAACTTTAAAACCTCCTCTCTCGATCCTTAAGCACATATAGTACAAAATATTCATTTATTGAATGGAAATCAATTAGCAATACTATTGAAAACTATAAATAGCAATTCAAAAAACAACATAAGTGACTCTCGGTAAATTTTGAGAAGCGTGAATTGACAGCTATTGTCTTTCAATCACAAATGCTCTGAACTCTAAAACAAAATTTTTAAAAAAACTGATAAAGCAAAATTTAAACAAAAAAAGTATAAGAACTTATAATGCTTGTAATAAGTAACTTATCATACAAAAATGCCAAATATATAAAAATGCCGATTTTAACAACTTTTGTTGCTTAAGTTGATTAAGTTTGTTGATTACATTTACTTAAGTTGATTACGTTTGTTGATTACATTTACGTAAGTTGATTACGTTTGTTTTTGTTGCATTTTTTTTGCTTAGCCTATTAACTTTTACCTAAGCTTTAGTAATAAATGAAAACTGGAAATCTGAGATTAGCAAATTTGCATGTTAAATCTGTATTTTGATCATTAGGCAATTGATCTCAGTGCTTCAAAAGCCATCGAAAGAGACAATCAAATTCATGGTTACAAAATCGAAACAAAAAAGAACGCTGACGAGATAAGCAATCTTAAGCACAATCTACTCAACTCTGAAATAAAAATAAACAATCTGAATTTTCAAATCAGTCGCCACCAGAATGCTGAAAAGTCCTTGATGGGTCGAATCAAAACACTGGAGCAACTTGAAAGGGAGGCTGAAATTCATATTTCCAAACTAACAAGACAATTAAAGAAAACACAGGAGGGTAATATATCACTGCATCAATCAGAATACGAAGCTCGTAAGGATTCTCACAGCACCAAAGAGCAAATGGATAATATCGTGTCTTCCAGGAAAATTTTATTGCAAATGGTTTCTAAACAAAGGCTCACCATTTTGGATTACGAAGACAGTGTTTCGATGCTCAAATCTGAAGTAGAACAAGCAAAAAATAAGTACAATAAGAATAAGTCTTTGGTGAAAATACTTAAGGATCGAGTTGCTTCTTTAAGCAAAGAGCAAGGCATGCTAAGAAATGAACTGGATAAAGTTCTGAAAAGCTTAAATGAGAAAGATCGTGCAAATCATAGTCTGGAGCAGAAGTTAAACTTTTCTGCAGAAAGTAGGCAAATATGTGAAGCACAATTAAATGAAAAAATGCGTGAAGTAGAAAATAAGGATGAAAAAATAAGGCTTTATGAGGCGGAAAGGGCCAATTTGGTGAAAGATCTTCTCCAAAAGGATGATGATATTAAACTTTTGAACTTTAAGTTGTCGAATTTGGAACAACTGCAAATACCCCAGAAAAGACAACAGAATGAAATAGATGTTCTGAAAGGTGAATTAAGAGAAGCTGAGAATTTATTGGCCGAAAAAGAATTAATAAGTCGAGCTCTAGAAGAACAAGAAAAAAGGACAAAAAATATACACAGGTAAATAAATTTTAGTTCGTAAAACATTTTTGATTTTCAACCTTAAACACCGACACACGGAGAAAGAAGCTCTTCCTCAGGTACTCAAACTCTGAGTTTATACTCACTAAGAGGTACAGATTACTAATACGAAATGTAATACTAGAATATCTTATTGAGATCACGTCTATGTGATTTCTGGCTGCTAGAGTTAGAGAGGCACATTTCATACATTACTGTGGGCCGAGAAGCAAGAATCACGCGATTACATGCATTTAATAACGGACCTAAAGGCGTTAAAAAGGTTAACATGTAGTTGGGTCAGATGGACAGTATATTTATTTGAGTAAGAGATATTGTATACTGTTGTATATTCAATACTGGTAGCAAGGGTACTATGACCTATGATTCGTCTACAATTGAGGATAATTTAAGTCAGAGCTTGGGGCGGAATTCGAATCAACCAGCTATTGCCGGGATTTGAACCCGGCTCACCTCATTGGGCGGCTAGCGCTCTATCATCAACCTATGACACCACGGCTTTTTCACACCAATTACAGTTTTTCATCAAATACCATTCTTGGGTCAAAATAAGGTCATTTGTATTCTTACGGTGGGACAAACGAAATATACGTCCGAGCCCTAATCAATGCCTACATTTACATACCATTCTAAAACAAAAAGGGAAAAAAATGTCAATTAATATTTTAGAATTGAAAAAAATCCATTTATATTTTATGTCAGGGAAAATGAATTATTATATTTTTATTAAACATACTCAGTAGCATACGATGCAAGGTGTGCAAATGAAAAGATGGTAAGGCGAATTTTATCCGTTTAAATCTTTGAATGATCATATCTAAATAAAAAGCGTCTCTTGTATGGTATCCAACTTTTTCTAGTTTGTACTTATGCGTTTTCCTAAGTTAATAAGGGTGGGTTGAGCTTCATTTATTTAGAAACGGATATTGCAGAAAGTTTATTCATTAAAACTTTATAATTATATATATAATTGACGAGTATTTTTATAAATTTATTTTAAATAAAAACTCGAATACAAATCCTAAATTTCATTAATAAAAATATATATACTTCTATAGTTCTGATAAATTTTTAAAGAAACACTAATTGATGCAAACTGAATCATTAATTAACTCTAGTTAACTTTTAAGCTCTTATCAATAATTTATTTGAAGTTATTTTCCTAACAAAATTATTTTGCTCCAGAGATATATTTGAAAAAACATATTTTAAACAGCATTTTGTAAAGTGCATCTATGATTATTATATTAACATATGCATTATGATTATTATATTTAACATAGTGCATGTTATAAACTTCTCAGTTAAAAAGTTAACCGAAAACTTTAGATTTGCTTCTAAAAGTTTACACTAAATGTACTAAATCTCACCCCATTAACTAAATGGTTATTTTTAGGTAATTATTAAAACACTAAACTTCGAGACATTTTATGTTGTTACAAACTGCATCGAGTGAAATTTAATTTTATTAAAACAATATACTGATGCTAAAACTTAAATGCATTTGACACTATTTAAACGATCATTCAAAGCGAGTAAATTTTAAAAAAAAACAATAATAATTTGCTGATCCAGTAAAAGTTTCACAATAAAAAATAATCACCATAGCGACAGACTTTATTGTCAGGAGAAACATTTGGCGAGGTTTCACGTATTTTTGTTTTTCAGGTGGCGAATCGTGGGAGGCACAGAAGAGGACTTGACTGTCAAGATCTCAACTCTACGAAAGCAACTGGCGATGAAGATTGACTCCCTGAAGGCGAAGGAGCAGGAGCTTCAAGAAAAGGATCAATTAATCAAGGAGTTGAGGAGTGACATTCAAAAAAGATCTGAGTTAATGTCCGAGGAGAAGCTGTGGTTGTGTCAGAAGAATCTAAAATCGTGCAGGGATCAAGTAAAGAGTCTCGCAGCGGAGAGAAACATGTACCAGTCACAGATGGAGAGATACGAGAGAGAAAAAGATCAACTGACTGATGAGCTCAGGAAACTGAAGATGCTAAATTACAAAAGAAATATTTAAGGTAGCATTGTTTGAAAGTGTGTTTTTCGAAGAGATTTTCGATGTAGTTTTGTGATTAAAATTCAATTTAAACTCAACTGTTTCTTATGGGTTTGTGAATAGTTTATATTTAAGGTTTATAAGTTAGATGAATACAATTTATTTCTATGGTGTTTATAAGTGATTAATTATAATTTGGAGATGTTAAATTCAAATATAGTTATTACGAAATGAATTTCAAGTCAGTGTGTAAAAAAAGGAATTATTTTTGAGCTAGGGAACAGATTTAAACTAGGACTCCATCTTAAACTAGGACTTTTTAGGACTCCATCTTAATGGTTCGAGGGGATCATCTCCAATATGCTAATGGATTGCAGATAATATTTTAAGTTACGAAATCAGATACAAAAACGTATTCTCTTCGAATAAACATAACTTTTTTTTTCGATGGATTCGGATTTCTAAACCCCCAAAATTAGGGGGTGGCTGTAATCTGAAAAAAAAAAAGGTACCAATAGTTTGATCAGGAGAACGGTCCAAAGATGGGATAACTTAAGTTAATAAAATTTTTATTTTATTTCGATATCTTAAGAACTCTTTGAGCAAAATTAGAAATTTTTGCAAACAATTATAAAATTCCTTTATCCAAAGATCAATTCATGCAAAAAATAACTTTTGATAAATATTTATTATCATTTATTTCTCTAAAAATTTCGAATTGTAAGGTACATAATTTTTACATCATTTTAAAGAATGTAATTTTAAGTGGCGAAAAGCAAAATTTGAGCGAAATCGAACGAATAGTTCCTGAGAAATCGAGTTTTAAACATACAACTTTTTTACCTGTTTATCATTAGATCTAAGTTATATATCAATTTTTTTTAGCACTATACATATTTTTTAAGTAAATCGTTCAACTATAATGTTTTTCTTCTTCAAATTAATAGGCTTTTAAAAGTTGGTTTGAAACCTAAACTTTAAGTTTTAGGAGGATTTCTTTAATTAAAAGCCAAAATTTTTTAAAAATTCCATTTAATTATACACTTATTTTTTTGTATAAAAGAAATTTTTCTTACACGAATGTAAAATAACCGAATCTTGTTGTCTTATTTTTAATTGATAATAATGTAAGAAAATTGAACTCCTTAACATAAATATTTTTTAATGCTTTCTTTATTAATAATAATAATTTCGAATTTAAATAAATGTAACTTTGATAATAGAAGTCTAAACATATAAATTTTTAAACTTATATTATAATAAGCTGATTACTGATCGAGGTTAAGAATATGGTAAATAATCGTTGGATCGGTATTTATAAACACTACACAATCATGGATAAAAGTAAAAGGTATATGCGAATAAATGAAATATTTTATCATTATTAATTGTTTCCCTTCCCGATGACCTTGAATTATTATATTAAGGAAAATGCATTTATAGAGGTTCAACTCATCAATAGAAATGAAAATTATATTTGATCTAATGTAACAGATTAACTAGAAAGATAAAATGATTTTTAACCAAAAATGACGCTATTGATTGAAAACACTTAATAGTCAATATTTACCACAATCAAGCAATTTTCTTGATGCATAGGCTCGTTAACACATAATGCATATATTTCTAATTTTAAAAACTGTTGTCTTTATATAGATTTGGTCATAGCGTCATAGTGAATCTTTAGGGCAGTTGTAATAAATAAATATAAACATGTGTTACACAGAGTTACCATGAAGAAATGGTTTTTAGTCGACTTTTAATATTCTTATTCAATGGCGTCGATCCTATTGTTTTAAAATTTTATAATCAGCCTTGAACAGCCGACCCAATTCTAAGTTTGTGGCTATCAATGTTCAACTTCATAGCCTTGTAATTTTGAACCCCACTCCGGAGACAAGAGAGCTCCTGGATAAAGCGTTCGGACAAGCGCGCGCCATCGTGGAGGACTTTTTGAAGGAACTTACCTCCATTTACGTTACATGGAGAGGAAAACTATAGAAAACCTCCCATGATAAGCCTCAAAACGGCAAGGGATACTAACCCATGATCCGTCTACCACTGAGGATGTTTTAAGTCAGCATTGTGGTCGGTGCGATCCGGGATTAGACTTCGTTTTCGCTTGAATTCTATCCTGGGGCAAATCATTGGGAGGCGCATGCTCTATTTCCTGCACCACCGCAGCTCCCTTGATCCTTGTTGATTTTACGTGAGCTAAAATCTGACACAAAAGATGAAAATAATATATATTTACAGAATGCGCAATGAACTTTGACGATTCTCGGTTTTGATTAAAAAGAGTTATTTTAAATAATTTGTGAGAAATGTCTGCAATTTATATCGAAGCAATGAATGTTAATCGTATAAGAACGACCAGCCTTGGCTCAGGGTATAAAGCTTTCACCTCCCAATGAGGCGACTTAGGTTCCAATCCCAGCAGTGGCTGATTAATACGAATTTTGATCCTGACTCGTATTGAGCACAGTGCTGACGTAAAATATCCTCAGTTGTGCACGAATCATGGGTCCTCTTGTCATTGGGCTAGTTGAGAGTTTTTCATAGTTTTCCTGTCCATGTAACGCAAATGTGGGGGAGTTCAATCAAAAAGTTTTCCACGAAGGCTAGTGTGTCCTGATAATAGATCCGGAAACTGTCTTGCCTTCTGCATTGGGCTCAAAAATTACAAGCATACAAAGTTGAACAAAGGTAGTCTTAAAGTCAGAATTTTTAATACCGGCTGCTCATCACTGGTATTAAAAATTAAAAAAATCCTTCAATGAAAATTTTACTGCACTTATCTGCCTCTTGCAGCAATTAAAATCTTTTAAATATATTTTACGATTGGAGGCTAAAAATCTGCCCAGCACCTACTGAAGTCTGACACAAACAACTCTTGAGCTATAAGAAAGACACACAAACTCTTTATTTTAATATCGACAACCTTTATAAATGTTTATTATTTAGTTCGATACCATTCAGTTGTCAATGTCAGTGTCTACATGCGTCCAGTGTTATTGACAGAAGTATGAATAGTATTTACTTGATCATGAGACGGATACATATAGTCTTGATTCACATCAAAATGAAGCCCTGCTTTTGCCGAAGCAAGGGAATGCTTTCATCATCTGGTTGTGACATATTGCTATAACGATGCTGTAAGTTTGAAAAAGATCCCTGATTATGAAGGAAAAAAAAGAAGCATAACAATATCAGCTAACGGATTTTGTGTTTATCTGTAATTTTTACACAGCGGAAGGATTTAGAAATATATTATAAAGTAATTTTATAATTGGAAAAAAGTTTGTATTTTTTTACTTAATTTTAAAATTTAAATAGCAATTACATAACAGGATAATTTTATAATCTAAGATTACTTTTAGTTCCCAAGTAACTCAATCTTTGTCTTTGTAACTTAATCTTAGTGCTAACCAACTTGAAATTCTCATTGGACGTTTTTCACAGGTTTGGAAACAGCAATAATAACAAAAATGTTTTTACACACAGAGTGCCTTATAATCACCACCTTTTGTTAATAGTTTAATAATCACTAAGAACTAAAATTTACGAAAAAAATTACATAGAGATCTTAAATTAATATTATTTATGGAAAATGCTTTTTTATCAACATGGGAAAAATATTTGAGATTATAACTTTACTGTGGCTATAAGACAATTAAATTAACTTGTTGAAATAGTTGCTTCACTGCTGATTTCACTTCGATAATGATCAATTCACTCAGGCGTTGCATCATATTATATATATATAT